GTTCACAGTTTTAGTATTGTTCAAGTGTCAAATTGTAATAACGTATCCAGTAAAGTTCTTGTCGTTTTTGTGAATAAATTGATTTAAAGTCCCCACAAGTGTTTCAATACGTAAAGTTCGTTCGTGTGTGTTTGTGAGTATTTCCCGATTTCGGTTCGTATATATTTTATTGTTACATTTTATATTTTTTTAATAACACTGTTCTGCTGTATTAAATTTTTATTTCCTTTAATATAATTTTTATGAATGCATATTCTTTTGGCAATTATCCCACTAGCGCGCCTCTGGCTCAGTATTTATCCGTCGATAACAATGGACAAATCCCTTAAAACAGGGTGATACCTACCTGCTCTTTATGAAACGACATAATTTTGCAATGCGGACTAGGGAAGTGACAGAATTTATTGACGGATCACCCTGTAGCGCTTTTGAATACTTAATGAGATTTTATTACTCTACACTCTTTTGAAATAGACTATAATGATATTTGCGTATTTATTATACATTGAGCAAATTCTGTCAATGGGGAATTTATGTTGATTGACATGAAAAGTAGTTTGTCGCGGATTAATACCTGGCAGCGGAACATACAAACAGATTTGACTGGTGAGAAAACTGCTATCTACATGACCATTCAAAAATTTTCCTAAGAAAACTATACTCTTTATAACTCTTCTGTTTTCCAGTAATTCTATGTGAAATTCATCTCTGATCGGTCCATACGATATGAATCCTGGCGAATGTCTGTGATTTTTAAAATACAAATATTTCAAACATTTATTTTGTATTGTTTTTAGAATCTTCTTTGACTTTTTTTTTTGGTTTGATTCCCATATAATACTTGTATATTCTAGTTTACTTCGAATAATTGTATTAAACAAATATTTTATACTGTTTATGTTTTTGAATTCGTAAGTGGTACCTAGTCTTTTATTATCTTCATTGGTAATATTTTGGTAGAAATAATACCATCATGGGTTTTTTAATGGGATAACTGATGGGGTAACTGGCTCAATATTGAGATGCTGACATTATCAAAAACTTGTCAATTAATATCCTACCTGAAACACCATGTCGACAAAAATTTGCTGGCAGTGGCCCCGAACAAGACTGTTGAAGTTTACGTCGCGTCGGCTCACTGCCCACTATAGTGTCAATCTCTAGTCCAAGGTTGTTCCTACTAGTAAAAATTTGGTAACATGTTTCTTCGAGAAAAAGTAACATTTGATAGAGAAAGGTAGTCAACATTACATAGAGGAAAATAAGGATAGAGCCGCTTATTCCGGTAGGCGGATCACTGGAACATAACAGAATTCCTTCAATATCTGTAATTCATGAAACATAAAATTAACGGTGACTTTTTCATTCCTCAAATAGTCAAAAAGCATATATTTATCGTATAAACAAAGGAATGAGCAACCTAAAACCCCTACATAACAAAATGCTGTTCTTTGACCACAGAACAATGGAATAAAATACAGAACAGGAACTACGAACTTTTTTGACAGACGACAATCCGAAGAAATGTGTTGAGATTTTATTGAGCATGATAAAATGAAGGCAGTTTAATAGAAATGTTAGCTTAACAACCTGCCGAAATGACATCGTGATAATCACTCGATCGAAATTAAATTATATATCCGTTACGTTTCAAATAATTTGAATTTACCGCGCAAAGTGAGATAAAACATCACCAACACAGAATATAGGCCATAGAACCTTGACCCCCAAAATCAATTTACCGTTAGATGAGTGTCTCTTCTGCAAGCTTTTCTGTGAATCTGAGACAGAACCTAAGTTCGAGATGAAACTTTGGGAATATGCTCTGATAAAAAACGATTTTTTCTCTCTATAATTATGAAAGTGACGAGCTGAAGTTATTCAAAAGGTAACGATATGAGGAAAAAGGTTGTTTACTAACATGGCTGGTCAAAAAGTAACATTTTCATCAGGAACAACATTGTTCCAGCCGGCCCGCGAGACACTGGCTGAAAGATCCAGTAGAGGCATTTTTTAAGGAAAAACACAAGCACTACAGGAAAATCCTCAAGGCGTTCTTAGAGTGGTGCCTGTGTGAAAGTAGAGACTCACATTAGAATTGAATCGCTGGATTAAATCCATTTGGAAAAACGTTCTCAGAAAGTTTATTCCACATAAACGCCGTTGTCCAAATGAAAGAGTCCTTGAACACTGAAGTTCGAGGTGTACTGATTTGAACCTCAAAACGATGAGCAGCCACGTGAAAGTATCTATAGAAGAGAGACAAATCTCCAACCCTTCTTCGATGTTCCAGACTATCAAGATTACAAGTGATGTTCGCCTCTTCAATCAGGCGAATGGCTCTTTTGTGGATGGAACAGTTTCAGGGTATGTTTGGGGGCGGAGCTCCATACATGAGAACAATACTCCAAAGGTCTGATCTGAGCTTTATGAAGCATCAAAGTTGCTGAGGTGTGTACAGTTTTCTGGTTCGGAACAGTGTTCCAAGCTTTTGAGAAGCAGCCTTTGCAATTCAAGCTACACCATTATTCGAGAGAAATCTATCGACGGTCACTTGCCGGGATATCAAAAACGACCAGACTAGTCACTAGTCTATTGTCGGCAGATGTTGAATCGCCAATACAGTGTTATTGAAGTAATGTTTGCTGGGGTGTTAACTTTTATACTTGTAGGGTTATCATGTGCCAGTTCAATAAGTTTTGTATCGTAGATATCAATAGTAGACAGTAGATTTGACAACAATTTTAATAAATATAACGTTGCCACTTCAATTGCTATGAATCGGGAACTTCAGAAAATCTCCTGGTTTTCCATAAGTTAAGATTCAACAATGGCAATATTATAAGGATGTCATACGATTTTCTTTCGAATGATACATATTGAAACTATTTCTATTGGAAATTTGTGTTCATGTGAATTTTCAAAAATGAAAATTTGTTCACCAGATTGTGCCTGATTTCATTTAAGTTTTTTCTAAAGAACGTTACCGGTAAAACTACTCAGTGTTACCACCTATGAAAATTTCAGGTGAGCATAGGATGGTAAACTTTTTAGACAAAATTATTTTTCTCATAAAAGTCAAGTTTGTGGAAAATCAGAAAAGAGATACTTTACTTTTTTCTGAATTAATGACTGATAAAACTAGATGCACAAACCTTGGAAAGCTGGTCACACACAAAATCGCCTCATCTGGCTTCAAGTACTCCTTGATTTCCTCCCTCCTGCTCTTCATATTCGCTTCGACAGTGTTGAAAGTCGGTAGGTCCCCAAAAGGTTTAGGAGGAGTACCTTCAATCATATACGCGGCATATTCCGGTCTCCACAAACCTTTGATTTCTTCAGGACGAGTTCGTTCCTTCTCATTGAGTACCGAAAGGAGTTCATGACACCTCAAATTCACCTTCGCGATCTTTTTATCCTCGAAATACTTGACGATAGTGTACTCGATCTCGTCTCCCCATTTTAGAACATCGCCCTGTCTATCTTTGTTTTTCTTGTAAGCGTTTATGTACTGAATAATGCCGTGTTCTCTCACGTGCTGGGCATATTTCATGGTCTCCTCGTGAGAAAGAGGACTTCCTTCGTTCAAGAGACCCATTTCGATGAAAAGTATTTGCAAAACTGATTCGAGTGATATTCGCACAGTGACACTTTTACACAGTCGTCAAGAGACGAAATTTACCATTTGTTAATCTGTCTAAGCTCTAAACAAATTAAGAATTCGAATGAGTTAACACTCGCGCTTAAACTGCTATAAACAAACTGAAGTTTCGTACACGATTCAAAGGTCCATCGGCATATGCGGGCCAGTGGCGCACAAATCAGTTTTTTACGGGGCTCTTCCCGAGGCGCTCAGTTGAAAATCGTGTTTCTTGCGTGTATGATATTAGACTAAATTCTAAATGTATTCATGTATATTATTGTATATAACAAATTTTATTTATAATAGTAGTAATAATTCGACTTTATTCATTTAAAAAAGAAAGAAATATGGTCACAAGTGATGAAAGTAAATTAGATGAACAGGCGGAATTATCAGCGATTTCTGTTTTTTAAATCAATCTTACAAAAATATATACTGAAAAAATGTATGTTAAAAATAAGTATAGCAACACAATAATACAAGCCTTATTGAGATGAGTAGATAATAACAAAAGCTTAGCAAAAATCTACATACAGAGCACCAATTGCTAGGATTTAGGAAAAAGTTTCAAGCGTTTTTTTAAATGTCACTATGGTGTAGACTATGAAATCCCCATGCAATATATTATACAGTTTAGAGGAAATATAAGAAAAACTACGAGTAAAAAATGAGCTGTGTTTGGGAATGACCAAGACAAAGCCATTTCGTTGTTAGTTGTTAATCTGGGAAAAACTAACAAGTCTGTTACATAAATAAGAGTGCGTATTTTTTCAAGCCATAATCATCCGGAGTCATCAAACCTACTACTGATGTGATCAATTTTACGTATACCGAAGGAAAATCTTGAACAAGAGTTTTGAATCCTTTGGAGAGGTATTAAGTCAGTGCTGGTCCATATATGCAATTGCAATATGATAATTTACAAAAAAATCAAAGTTTTGCAAAGCTTAAGTTTCAGTTGTGTAGTTAGAATACCTCTATTGGAAAAAATTTGTCTGATAATGTTATAAGAAGATTTACAAAGATGAATTGATGAGTAAATTAATATTTTTTGAGAAAAATGAAAGTTCGTCTATTTTTGAACAGACAGCGTACATCGTTATTATTTATGCAGTGTTCAACTGACACATTGAAAAAGAACCTATTGGATCTGAATATGTGTAAAATCTATATCGTACTGAACAATTTCTCTTATTTACTGTTCTCATTAATGACTTCTCATTTGAACTTAGATCGAAACATGTTTTATTTGCTTGTGATAAATTAGTTCATGGAAAATGTTTGATCTTCAAGTATGGGGAAGGGTCATATTTGAAAGTAAATAACTACCAGTGAACATTGACTTTAAGTTGAAATGCTGTAATGAAAGTACTTGTTAGAAACTGGTTCTATTATTACACTGGTTCTTATGATTTTTACTTTCCAGGTCTTGAATAATCAATCAGAAACCCTTCGAAAGAAATGAACAATTACTTAATTACTTCAAATACTGTAATGGCCAGTACAAATTTAGAAAAGAGAAATAACAAAATGGCATGACAGAAAAGTGAGGAAGGCAATTGAAAAAACCAAACAAAATATTTATAATCAAATTCACTGGTCAAAACGAGTCTACATGAGTAGCTTATACAATAACATAATTTAACATAATCTTGAAAGTTTTACAATTTCAACTACGTCTATGCTCATTGTGTTATTCCAACATAATATGTTAATGAAGTGTTTGTTTTATATTATAAACTTGTTATCAATGTCTATCGTAAACAATGGATCTATGTTTGTTAATTTCCAAAAATATTTCACAATAGACTATCTTTAATGTACAATCAGTGCACAGAACACAAAAAGGATTATTTAATTAGAAACAATGAAGCAAATTTCACTTTCTTCAATTCTATATAATCTGGGTTTATATTGGGGTTTTTGTTGACCACCTGTTCGATCATATACGGATACGGTGATCCTCAGAATTCAAAATTCGTGCGGGTTAACGAGGATTTAATTTCCAATGTGTGTTTTCTATCACAGAAGCAGATTTTACCTATCAGAAGAATTGCAGTCGATGCAACCCGCATGTCAAACACTTGTTCAGAGCACAGCATAAACGAGTTGCTCGTCAAATCTATTGCTGATTCTAGGTAGAAATTCAACCGTTGACTGATTGGGTGTGAATTTGATCACTTGGATCCCAAACACATTATTTTGCCATACTTACCACTAAAATGAAATGTTCAATCTGAAGAGGAATAGGTCCTTATGGAGGCTATCAAGTAGTTATACTTGGAGAAAAGTGGACAACCCTTAAAAGAATCTATCTGGGATGCCACAAAGATCTATCGTCAGGCCTCTCTTTTGAAAATGTATACCTCCAAATTACGTGAAGCCGTTGAGTTTTCTGGAAAACATGCATCCGTGAATGACATATAATTCTATTATCGTCACGATTGGTTGATTGAATTTGATATCAGTATCGGTAACTTGTCGTATTTAGTAATTTTGACCAAAAAAAAACTTTGCAATGGAATAAATACTTATCCCAACGTTTCGAAGGCTTGAATAAGCCAGAGGTATTCAGAATTGAAAAAAATAAAAAATAAAAAAATCTACAGTATGTTTTTTCTTTGGTTCGCTTCATTTTCAAACTCTCTCGACAGATGTCAGAGGAGTTTTAAAATGTGAAATATGTCAATTATGTTGATTGACTTCCAAAACATTCGATGTAGAAGACGTTTTCCAATATTAGTCCGTTGAAATTTTACCACTATCCACAGGATACTGACCAGGAGGAGGAACCAGGATGACTTTTACTCCACTTTTCTTCAGGGGTGAGGTTATATCATTTGCTGTAGAAGTGAAATATCCTCCTTATTTGAAAATTTACCTGGATGGCTCAATTAGGGAAGGTTCTACACAAGTCAGACTATCCCTATGGACATGTCGCAGGATCTAAAGATAACCATGTGTCTTGGTGCCCAAATGAATCCATTGGATATATGTGTTGATTGGCAGATTGGCATGTATCCTATAATCACTTGGTGGCTGAACGCTGTACAGCAAACGCCAGTTGCTATTTTTTCTACAGACATCCCGAAAAAATCATCAAATAACGCCAAGTTAGTATATGAAGAGATAGACAAATAATTATATAACATGATTGAAAATTATCGTAAAACGAACGTGAGGAATTTGAGTTGATTTTGAACGAAATACATAAACTTGGAAATTATATTTCCAACTTCGAAAACAGGGATGAATTGAGTTTTAGAGGCTGAGCATATCCATAAATTCAAAAATGCAATAACCTTTGAAAAAGTGCTTATACTTCCATTTTTGTCACTGAAACTGTACTTTTTAACATGGAAGTACTTGCTCCACAAGATAGAGGATTTGAAAGGTTCAGATTTCTGCACCAAAATTAGCCAAAATTACATTCCTTGTGAAAATTTTGTGTTTCTTCATATCCATTCATTTCGAGAACAAATTATAAAACCGATAATGGCGAACAAAAACCATGCAAATTTTCCAAATATCAAAATGTCAACTAACAAAAAAAATTAACGTCAAATAACTGTCATTATTTATTTCGTTGTTATGATAATGATCAACTTCATTTATCTGTATGGGACTTCACTTGCGTTGACACAGTCAAGGCTTCCCATCTAGCTTTGATTCTTGGAATCATTGCTCTTATTTCAGTACGGAACTAAAATCTTTTCAAAACAAGTCGAGATATGTGAGTATTTATCAGTCTCCTATCAAGGTTATTTCGCAAGTGATTGATCCACCTTCTTTTTCAGTGAGATCAATGGACATAGGTTTTTCTTGCTTTCAAAATATGAGCTGCAGTTCTGGTTACCTTTCAGTGGAAGAACTTTATGAAGCAAGAACCGAATCGATCCCTCTACGAAACCCTTCAAAACTTGAAAGGATTAATTGAAGCCTGAGAAATGGTTTCGATACAGATTCTGTGGAACATGTTCTTCCTTACAAATCAGTAGACATCTGTTCACAAAATCTTGCGAAGAAAATTGGATCAGACGAAGAATTTCAAGAAGGAGGTTTTAACGATGAACGATGAACCAAACTCAAACACCGGTTCATGCAGCTGCAGTTTCGTAAGAAACTGGATACTGAAGTCCACTGGATACTCGTTAGAACAACAGGATTGTTCCGAATTCTGGCAATAACTTGAATTTATTGGATCCTCTGGAGTCACACTACATTTTATTATATGAAAGAGAGGTCATCAGCAGATCAAGATCTTCAGATGATGTGGTGCTGCAGGTTTATACGGGTTTTCCTGCAGCTGAAAAAGCAAATGTGCCACTAGAATCAATCATGTCCCCCCGGAGCGCCAATTATTTTTTCTTGTTGTTTCATAATTTCATAATTTGCATTACTTTTTTTTACATGTTTCTATAATCTAAAATTATCAGCCTAGTCTTTCTGGACTAGGTTGTTACATATTTCTTCAGAAATTAGACTCTATGGAGAAGACTGGATTTCAATATATGAATGTAAACATTTCTTTCATTTGCAATTTCTAATTTGGAAGCTAATTTGATGGTTTGAAGCTTGGCTTCGAAACTGTGAAAGTGAATTGAAAGTGAATTGTGATTTCTATCGATACTAAGATGGCTTTTTTGTAAGAAGAGATATCATTGCTTTTGCTCACTCAGGCTTGTCTTTGTTGAGTCCAGCAGTTCATTTGTGGTTCACCCTAGTAGCTCTGATGAAATCTACGGCGAATCGAAACAGCGCTGTTTGGTGTTGGATCAAAAATGCTTTGTTTTTTTGGTTCAGGTTTCATATACTATCAGTTGAGATGACAATTGAAACACTTCATCGGTTCCTTCATCACATTTATAAATGTCTAACGCAATCGTAGACAAAAACTCAAAAATAGCTTGGACACAGTTATTTGCCGTCGTGAAAATTCACATTCTTTGAATAACAGAAAAATTTAACACTATTTCGTTTTGTTCCTGAAGAAGCACTAGTATCGACTAATTTATTATTTGTTTCAACTGGTGAGAATTATCAGCGGGATGGTGTATGATATTTTAAGTTTAATACCAGAATTCATCAGCCACAGACATAATGTTTCTAAATGTAAAGAAATGAAATTTAAACGTTTAAGTCAGTCTCGATTATACCTACACAGTAGGTTGAATGGACTGACGCCTATCAGAAAACAACTACTTTCCTGGCTAATACCACGAAGGGCGTTGGATTATATCCGACAGGCGTCAGTGCAGGAATCTTCCCAGAACATTTCGTGCATATGCAATTGGTAATACAACTGAAAGAGTTGACTTTAAATATTGGAACGGGCACACTTGCAGACCGGTTTCAGGCTCATTAGCCACTCATCAGTACAAGATAGTGATCCTCATCGACCTGAGGTCAATGATATTCCATAATTGAGTATTTCAGAGTATTTCATTCATCTTCGTAAGTTGGGGCGAACAACAAGTCACTCCACCTCGCCGAGCAGAAAAAAACAACAGACCGGTTTTTTGATAATCTTTCTTTCTGAATATTACTGGAGTTCCTTTCCAACACCAAATCGTTATTTTCAACACCTCGACACGTGTTTCGATCATCAAGTATTCATCTTCAAGAGGAAGATTAAACCAGATTAAACCAGTTTAATCTTCCTCTTGAAGATGATTACTTGGTGATCGAAACACGTGTCGAAGTGTTGAAAATAACGATTTGGTTTTGGGAAAGAACTCCAGTGATATTCATTACTACACCAAAGGTTCCAAACAGTGCATCATAAGTATCCTTCTTTCTTTTGAAGATAATCATTGGCTTTTATATTTAGTTTGCTATTGGATCCATTAGCAAATGCGATTAGCATTCTCTTTTCATAGTATTTAGTAGTAGATCCTGTTAACTTCCAGGAATAGCGGTACAACACATTGACATCTTTTGGATGATGTCCTTCAATCAGCCCCACTCTAAGATCTGATTGGGAAGTTAGTTCACTTCAGATTTTTTTATTCTAACTCTGCCGTCATATCTTTTTCTATCTTGAAATGGAAATATCTGACCCAGTAAGGAAATATTATCTGAATAACTTAATGCGATGGTTTATCACTTTTCAATCACTTTACAATTAATACTATATCAAAGGAAGCATTTGATAAAAAAACGAATAATCCACAACAAAAAAGTTAATACTGTAAATAATACAAAGTTTAAAATCAAACGGTGATCTTTTTAATGTTATCACAGTTATACTTTGAAGTTATTCGTCACATCCTTGAGAATATAATCCATCGCAGATGGATTGTCAATTGGTACCTGAAACAAAATCAAAATTATTGGAGAACTATTCATTAAAAAATCGTTATATTTGATAATTGCTTATGTTACAGAAAGTTCTTACCATATGCCCAGATCTGTCAATCCAATAAAAGGCAAAGTTCCCATATTTCTTGACATATCCTTGGTAATAACCATCATTCGCGAATGCTGACCTTTCTGAAGATTCCCATGAAGATTTGTTTTTCCATCTCAAATTATCAATCCACTTTACAGTCCCTGCAAAATCAATAGTTCTAAATAACGGTCAGAAGTGGAGTGGAAGTGAAATATTTTTGCCTATATGTTTAACTTTTCATATACGCCACTCAGAAAACAAACTCCTAGGAACCAATGGAATTAATATGTGCCGGAGTTGTAATAAACAGAAAACTATTAAAAACTAATTGAAATTTCTATGAAATATCAGGAAAAGCTCAGTGGAAACGAGTAGTTTGACAATAACCCTATTATATATTGATGGAAGGAAATGAACAAAAGTACAGAATATATCATTTTAGACTTGTTGACTGTCTGGCAATCGTTATTTTTAACACCTCGACACGTGTTTCGATCACCAAGTGATCATCTTCAAGAGGAAGATTAAAATAGAAACTAACGCGAAGCTAACGCTATTTATGCTATATAGATATACGATACAGGTAAACCACACAGGTGTACCAATCATACAGGTTTCCACCCTAAATTAATTTTACAATTTTGCCCTATCTATTATTTTACAATATATGTTTTAATGTTATAGCTGTATATAAAACAATTTTCAGCTATTTAAAAATTGATTTCACAATATTGCCTATCTAAATTTATTTTTGTATGTGTCCTTATGTAGTATTCAGTAAACCAACAATATTATTTTAACAAGCTATATAGTATGCTATTTGGTATAAGTCAGTCATTGTTATCCATAATACTATTATGTTTACTCATTTCCACACTCTCATAGGCATCTAGTTGCCTGTTGTTGTTAACTTGTCTTACGTCTAGTGACATTACTAATAGATGAAACAATTCTGGTACTCACAAGAAAAAAGATGTAATAAATCTAGTAATCACAAAGAAAATGGTAAGGTAAAGAAAAGCTTCGAAAACGTCATGGCCTTTTTAATTGATTTTTGAAGACCTAAAGTGATACATTGAACAGATCTAAGTTATTATGATATGATATTGATTTCTCAGCTTCAAAATACGAGGAATCGGACTGTTTAAAGCATAATTGGTATGGAATTAATTTATATGAAAAATGTCAGGATTTTTCGTATATTTTTGTTTGATATGAAAAGTTATTAGTTGAAGTAGTTCTGAGCAGTTTATGTCGCTATTTATTAATTTGAAGAGAAAACTCAAGTTCATAGAAATTCTCCTATCTTCCAATGATTTTATATTTAATTTAGTTGAGGTTGACTGTACTCATATTCATTTCGATGAATACCAAAGTCAAAAACACAATTCCTTAAGAATTTCTTGTGAACATTCTCAATCAAATCGATATTTACATTATAGTATGGGTCTCCCATACAACTGAACAATATTCAAGAATGGATCTTACAAAAGCACAATATAAAATCTTTCCGGGATCCCTGCGGTACCCCTGATGGAACCTGAATGGGCGTACATGTTGTATCTCCGTATTTTACAGACAGTGTTCTACCAGTTAAGAAGCTATTGATTACTTGCAAAACATCCTGAACTATACCAAGCGCTTGAATTTTTGATATAAGTAGGCCGTGGTTGACTCTATTTTGAAAGACTATACAATATTCTCAATAAAAATGACAAAGTTATCCTTTCCAAGTGTACTGTTTATTTTTATTCTGTTGTCAACAACAAAACTCACCAGGTGTGTCCACTATTAGATCGAGCTGTCCATTGTAGACTGCAACAAAAATATCTGTATTGTTCAGAAGTTCCTCAACGATGCTGGTAACTGGTTTCATGAAGTCCCCGTACAACATTTCGAATACATCATCTTCCATCGAATATCGAGTAATATTGAGGGCTTCTCTCACAGGACCGTTTAAAATCACATCGATCTTAGATTCCACTTCATCGGAAACAGATGGTTTAACTGAAACAATTTTTATATATTTCTACCTTTTTGAAGAAGGTAAATTCTCAAGGCTTATCTATGAATGAAAATAATCGAAACACAACTGTTAGGTAATGAATTGGCTCATCTGTGATTGACTTAGAAAGTCAATCACAGATGCAGCAAGGCTGCAGCAGGCCACCAGTGCAATTGAACCCCGGTTTGTGTTAAATAAACCCTACAAAATACAAATGAAACAGAACACTGAGTCAGATGCTACAAATGCAATACGCTTTTTTATAGACGGCTGGAAAACCAAAGAAAGCTCAGGATGTAGAGTGTACTCCAGATCACTAAGCCTAATAATTGAGTGGGGAATGGGAAGAAATACCAGCGTGGTCCAAACAGAAATGGCTGGTATCTCAATCGCCACAAAAGAAATAGCCAGGAAAGGAGTTTCCGGTGAAAACATAACAATCTGCACTGATAGCAGACAAGCCCTATTGGCCTTGAACATACGTGTTACCTCAGGGCTAGTACTAGAGTGCCACCAAGGTTTAGCCAAAGCCTCAGTAGATAATAAGATTATCCTAAGGGTTGAAGGGCATGACAGGAGTAAAGGTAATCGCATTGCCGACTCTGTCAAGGAAGCGGCTGGACTAAGAATTCTAGGACCCAGTGGCACCTACGGTCTTATGACTTCGACAATTGCGGAACTAGCCAAATGTCACACCCATGCTCAATCCCTGAAGAGATGGGATGGAATCAAAGGATGCAATCTTGCCAGGATACTTTGGGCGACACTGGGAAGCTTGCGCGTAAGAAATATCTGGCGAAGACCAGGAAAAATCTACGCTCGACAGTAGGATTTCTGACTGGTCATTGTCAACTGTGGAAACACCTCCACAATATGGGGCTAGTGGATACACCTCTATGAGGATGTGTTAACAAGAAAATGAAACTAACCTATGCGATTGTCCGGAGTTATCATCCCTCCCTACTCTACGCATGTCATCCCTACTCTTTTCTCATTCGGAATAGAGTTCAATTTGGGGATTGAGTGTGGCATTGGATGGTATTTTGTCTGCTTTTGGCAATAAAGCAATTACCTTAATGGCAATTTATTGTTAAAACCCTAGACATAACAAAGTGGCGATGAGGATAATTGAAGAACCATAACATAATTAAGCTATATCCGAAACTCTCAAGCTAGTTGAAAACACATTCTTTTGATTAACCTATAATCTCATTTTTACTCTTGTTTTCTTTTCCATTAATTTGACTGTATTACATTTGATTCGTCAACATCACACCAGAATAATATGTCACCACACACAAGCTGATAATATCAGCTTCGATGGATTTTTGTTTATTATAAGCCTCATATTACTAAGTTTTTTTATTAGACATTTGATTTTGTAACAATAAAAGGTATGTATTTTTTTTCGCTATATACAGTGGCAGTGGACGGCTGCTCACCGGTATTTTACCGGCGACGATCACCGGTCGGCATGTGTGCAAGGTCCCACTCCCACATGTGGTTCACTATTGGAATTTGGACGATCGGTACAAAGTCGGCCGTCCAAAATCGGTGTGTATGCAACTAGCGTAAGTTGTAAAAACGAACTGAGGAATTTATAGTAAATTATTAGTAAATTGCAACTGAGTAAACAGTGCGCGAGTGTCTGGAACAGTTCTTTGTAGCGAATAATGTTACAGATGCCAGTATAAAACGTGCTATTCTGTTAAATGGATTATCGCAGAAAACATTCATTCTTCTGCAAAATTTATGTGTTCCAAATGAGTTGCAAGAAAAAAGCTACAATGACGTGGATGACAATGTTTCGTGATGTATTTCATCAGTTCGGACTTCCATTGTCTAATATAACATAAATTGATTTGAAATCCCTGAGAAAAATAAAAAGAATAATCGAAAGTAACAATTTTATTATGAAATGAAAATGAAAAATAAAAATAAAAATTAAAAGATTCCAAACCAAGTTATGTGACGACGTTTCGATTGTTAGTACCCACAATCGTCGTATGGTGATAACTGTTATCAAATTATCACCCGAAGATGATTGCGGATACTAACAATCGAAACGTCGTGACGTAACTTGGTTTGGAATTTTTTAATTTTTATTTTTTATTTTTGTTAAAAATATTCTTTAATTTTTCAGCTTTTATTAATATTTCAATTTTTTATTTTCTGGTTGTAGCTTGTATGTTATTTCCTTGTAATTTCAGTTTTTTGTTTTGATAAAATTGTTATTTTTGGTTGATCTTTTTATTTTTTTCAGGGATTTCAAATCAATTTATATTATATTAGACAATGGAAGTCAAAACTGATGAAATAAGCTACAATGACTTTGTGAAGTTTTTAAATTACTATTACTGCTGAAAAACAATTGTATTTGCTGCAATTTATTCTGCAATTTATTCAGTAGATGATTTTTTTTTCATGTCTGGTCCTGAATTAGACCCCTTATCGTAGTCATATCTTACCAAAGAAAAGAAAATATGAAAAATTACTTATACGATTTGATACTCACATAAATTATGGCGACGTCCGAAAGAGGGAATTTTTTTAAGAATGTTATATAAGTCAACATTCGCTACTTCACTGATTACTCTTTCAGTCTGAACCCAATAAGATGTGGCTTCTTCAAATTTTCCTTGATCTAAAGCCTGTTTTGTTACATTAGCTACAGCCATTATTTTTTCATAGCCCTGTTGATCTACTGCTCCCTGGAAGTCAACAAGAATGAACAAATCGATGGGTATGAATGAGATCCTAAGTGTATATCACAGACATTTATAATATTACGTCTTTTTCAGTGACCACAAATTTAAAAAGTTGAAACCTAGGTTTTATAATCGAACAGGTTCAATTTCACAATGTGATAGTGACAGGATGCAAGGAAAGCACTCCCCAAAAATATTAAAATAAATAAACTACTGAACAAAGTTACTGTAAGTATATTCTTCTGAAAAATACAATCAAAGGCAGAAACATTTCAGAAGAACTACAAAGTTAAGAGTTCATTCAATTTTAAACTCTTTCATTAATGATTAAATCAAAACACAGAACATAACCAATTCATCATAACACTGAACATAACAAAATATGAGTAGATGAAATTCTTTAATAATAATGATTGTAATTTTCCAAGATTGGTGGTCCCGGAAGTACCAAATTTTGTATTCATAGCTCTATATGTATACTTTTCCCAGCGACGGCAAAAAAGTTCGCTATCGTTTTTATAATAAGAGCTTGTTCCCTAAAATAGCCATTAACTGCCGACATCCCTTCTTCATCGTTGGAAAATCTCTGACCACTGGGCCATTTTCTCAAGTTTTAGAACAGAAAATAATCCGAGGGGGTTAAAACTGGCGAATAGAGTTCATGAGGTAACAATTCAAACTTCAATTCGTTAATTCTGGTCATTGCAATGACTGATAAGTTTGTGAGCTGTTGCATTGTCTTGATGAAAAAACACTTCTTTCTAAGCCAAATGCGGCTGTTTTTGCTTGATTTCTTAACTAAAACGTTGCAATAAGTTTGCACAATACTCGCCGTAGATAATCGTTTAAACTCTGTTTACCTAATATTTTGGTGTTGTAAATGAAGGAGCAGAGTAACCCAGTGTAAAACTCAGTTCAGCTTCTATATTGATTGGGCTGAGGCCTTTCAAATGAAAGTATTGTACCACATAACGATGATCAATTTCCTCCATTTTCACAAATTCACCGAAAGTATTCACTATTGATGGCTGCCAAACGAATATTAAACAACGCAGCGTCTTCAAACAAGAAACATATGCTTTATAGATTGTGTTTTTTCTAATACAGTGATATTCTTCAAACAACTAGCGTCATCTCTAGGTCAGGCCGGGTACTTCTAGGATCATCCCCGTATTGGCTTGATGCTCCGTTTTGCCCTTTGTAATCAGAGTATTTTCTATTTTGATTCATCAAACACACTGCACAAACTATCGGCGAAAAAAAACAAATGTTTCGCACGGTAAATAAATATATACTGCTTTGGCTGGTTTCGTTTCCGAAGCGAAGTAGGAGCGCCAAATCTGCTGGCCGCGGCTGTATAAATTCAATTCAATAAATGATGAAAAGAAATAAAAGATACTGCTTTTTCAAGACAGCAATACTATTACTTCTACCACTGTTGTAGTCATCTCCTGATGATGGTTAGCGAAACTTGCGTTGAGAGACAGTATGCAATGCTTGCAAACGTTTTTCTTGTTGTCTAGCAACACTAAACTTCTGAAATCAATCAAGTGAAGGGAAGTAGGAGTAGAAAATTTTCAATTGTACGTTTCTTCGCCACACAGTCATCATTGCATTCTTCCTTTCAGCACTCGATGATTTGAGTCCTAAGGCTTCAAAGGCTGTAACTGGAATAACGCTAGCACTAAAGAAAAGTGGAGTTGAATCATCTAAGTTCCTCTTCGTGATGAAGAGGACTCACAGTTTCGTTGAAGTTTTATCTTGCACCATCTATGAATATCGTACAACACTCTCTGTGCAACCCTTGGTGATTTTGGGGTTGCTCCATCTAATAGAACGGTAGTTGCTGTTCTGCCCATGCTGTTTACAGCAAAAACCAATCTAATAGATTCAGGTTGTCAAAGGGTATTTCGATATAAAGAAATATAGCCACCGCGATCTTTTCATTGTTGGAGGATCCCCCCCCATGCTCCATCCCGGGTTGAGTGCCCTGAAGTGGAAGCTTTCCCCCCCCCAGCTAGTTAGCGAGGAGAATCTAATACACCAATCCATCCACCCTCGCTCTCCGAGCGGTCCTCAACTTACTGATGGGCACTTCACCAAGATTGACATCTGACCTCTTTTAGTCGAAAGTCAGCCTTTAGGTGCTATTCTTTCGCGATCAGTTGAATTGTTTTGTCTTGACTATTCCTAACTGAATTTTTGCATGGGGGCCCCCAAAAACTAACCGGCGGCTATGGTTGTTAGTGTCGAGAATTCCTCAGTGAATCTAAGGATAATTGAATCGCGGTCGAGTTGTTCTGCGGTGAACCTGCTGGAGGATCAGATGATTTTTTCTAAAAGGTTATTAGTGCTGAATACATCGATTTGACACTTGGTTTATGAGCATACTGGGATGCAAAAAGGAACCCGCTTGATATTCCCGTACAGAATACTTTTCCCAGTCTTTATAGTAGGAAGTATGTTTGTTGTACCGATTTGGAGAATGTGAAAAAGTATTTCAAGTCACTTTTGAAACAGACTTGGAAATTCACTATGTTCATAGTGAGATTTAAAGTGCCGTAGTGATTTGGTCGCCCATACAACTGTCGTTATTCTTGAGCCTTCGTCCGATATTACTAACCTTCGAAGGGTAAAAGGACGGTGGTAAGTGTGATTTATAGCGGCGGGGTGTGTTATATTGGATTTTCAAGTATGTGATGACCTCTGTGAATTGTTTTCGTTTGTTGAGACAGTTGAAGGTTTTATAGTTTCACTAGCTTCGCGGATCATTTGCCTTGGTCTGGTCATGTGAGATTTGGAGTAGGTGCAAAAGTAGAGATTTGATTGTTGGTTGTGGATATTGTTTTTATGTCGTGCCTCTTCAGAATTCACCTTACTTTATCAGTAACTTAATGAAAATATGGAAGAAAAACTTTTGAACGTTTTGGCGAAAGGCGAATTTGAGTTCGTTTAACTTTGTTTGATACTATCTCTATCATATCACAAGTATGTATTAGAAAGGAATGTTTTACCCTATCAACTACTGGTCTTAGACCTGAATCAATATTGAATAGGATGTGTTTATAATCTCAGCAAGAAAGTTTCAGTGAATACTTCTAAGTGACTTGTCTTCTTGCTCAGAGAGTATGAGCTGATATAAGACCTCGTGCCTTCTGCAGAATTGAGGTGGAGTCATCAACAGATCGTCTGATTTTTTATTAACATAATGAATACAATCAACAAGTTTCTATAAGGCTTACCAAATTAAGTAAGTACGGTGCCCAAGTGAGGACAGAATCAATTGGGGATATCCAAGAGTCCCCGAGTCCGATACCCTTCAAAGTACTAGCAATTTCACCCTTGCGTGCAGCCTAAAATTCATAATATCACGTAAAAAATGCTCTCCGACAAGTTATGCATTCTTACATTATCAATTACCAAAGCTATTTCAGCTGTCATCTTTCCTCCATAAGATTCGCAGAAAATATATAGTGGTACTTTTTTGAATTCGGGAAGTGTTTCGTAAAACTTCTTGAGAAATACCAGAAAATCATCGGCGATTTGTCGATTTGTAGTGGTGAGGTCTACATTAGTTTTGGCGTTACTGAATCCCACTCCCACGGGGTTATCGACGAAAAGAATATTGGCGTTTTTCACCCAAGTTGTATTTCTTGGTTTCAAATCCGCATCTAGGGGTCCGATTTCTGCGAAATTGCCGTAACCCACAGACGATGCTCCGGGTCCTCCTTGCAACCAAATGATGAGCGGTCTTTCAGTAGGTTTGGAAACGTTGGCGGTAGTGTAATGGAGCCACCAGAATAGATCAGCGTTTTCTCTCACTTGGACGAATCCCCATTCCTGGTCTGTTGGACCAAATCCAGGTTTCGCTGAAGATGAAAGGGCAATAATAAGTTGATGATAAAAACTCCTTTTTTCTACTTCCTCCATTTTAAACTAATCATTACCCGTTTGAATACTTAGGCACAACTTGAAGGTTAAAAGTGATCGGAGGTCAAATCCCGCTGCTGGAAGTGGGATTTGATATATTTATATGTGTCACTGTTTTTCGAGTTTAAGAGCCGTGGATTTTTAGAATTTCTTCCTGACGTTTCGCTGGCGCGAGTTGCTAGCTTTTTCAGAGGTTTCACCATCATGGCTTGCTGTCCGATGACTAACTTTTAGGCTTCGAAGAAGAAGAAATTCCAAAAGTCCACGGCTTTCAAACTCGAAAAACAGTGACACTGACAACCTCAGCCGCGAAAGTCTAAGCCATTTTGTCGATAAAATTATATATTAATGATATTTCTCGAAAAGTAGTGGTAAAATGGAGTGAAACAACAAATTAAATTCATTTTTAGGTTGCAATGATTATTGCTATTTCTGGAGCATACATAATAAAGAACGGAAAGGTATGCAAATAGATCATATTAAAGATATGGGCCAAGAACTAAACCTCAAAGTACTGGACACAAAAACTAAAACCGAAAGGTCATTCATTGACTTTGTCAATTTCTATAATATTTGTAATAAGTACATGAACCTGAGACCAAAAAATGTTGTCAACTACAAATTTTTTTTGAATTATCAAATTGAGAGATCTTTAGTCGCTTAAAAGCCTCTCTACATGGCTGCCTCCATTTTAGTCCTGTAACAAATTTTCGCAGAGCGAAAACACGCGACCAAGAGGTACATATACTTCAGTTGAGAATACCATATCGCAGATGACAGTTGATGTTTGCATAATATACGATTAATAGTAGGTATGTTTTCATGACAATGATTTGATAAGAACTTTAACGCATAGCAATTTTTCTCAACTTTTTACAAAGTATATCGACGTGTGGTTCCCAGCATAATTTATAATTGATTGTTAGTCCAAGCAACTTAGTTGTTTCACTAGCATATACATTCATGTCATTGCCCTTGAAAATTTGAAACTGTTCCATAGTTCCCCTCAAAGTAAATTTCATCAAAGACGTTTTCGATATATTTACCGTTGAAAGATTTATTTCGGACCACTCCATTACTTTATTGTGTACCATTTCTGATGTTATCACAAGTTCAGTAGTATCTTCGCCAGTTATGAGTAGATTTGTATCTTCAGCATATGATATTACTTGGACTTTAGAGATGTCAAGAAGAAAATTAATGAGATCATTAGCATAGATTGAAAATAACAAAGGTTCAAGAATCGAGCCGTGGGGAACTCCCTGCTTAACAATGAGAGATTGGCTCTGAGTTGTGTTGATGATTACACTCTGGGATCGATCAGTTAAGTATGATTTCATTAAATTCAAGGCTACACCCCTTATACCATAACGCTCAAGCTTATGTAATAAGAGATCATTATTGACACAATCAAAGGCCCGAGAAAAGTCAATGAATATCCCACAAATCTGGACTTTTCCATCCAAGGCTGTCATTACATTTTCTTGAAAATTATATAAAGCAGTTTCAGTACTTCTGCCTTTTGTGAAACCATGCTGACTTGAAGATAGCAGCTTGTTCATAGTTAAAAATGAAAGCAGTTGATTTCTTATATTCAACTCATAAAGCTTGCTAAAGCTTGATAAAAAACTTTACTATCAACGCTGGTGCGTTGCAATGCAATGCCACGAAAACCGAGGCATCGGTTTTCTCTAAAAAGATGAATGTCTCCGAATCGGATATAATATACATATACTTTGTGCCGGCCCCGCTGGGGACCGAATCAGGTTTTTAGAGTTCAGCAGAGCCGTACTCTTACCATATGACCTGAAAGACCACTCACCATACAAGCTAGGTTTATTTGGTCGAGTGTGAATAGGTATAAGCCACAATAAACCCTTGCGGGTTGCGGTGAAGGGTCGTACAGACCCACTCACTTTGGACTCAGCCTAACTTAACCGATTGTTGAAAGGTCTTTCACAGAACTCAAATTGTTGTATCGAAAACCAAATTGCAATGAAATGGAATTCAATATCACGTTTTTTAGCGAAAATACTCACCCAAGGCGGCCACTAAAAGGTGGAAGATAATAAGAATATTTTTCATGTCGCAATATTCACTGAAACTAATTGATCCGAATATTTATCAAACCATTTATAGAGTAGCATATCTATAATTTTTTTTAGATAAGTAATTGAAAACTCCTGATTTCATTTTTTGAACGAATGCCATTTATTAGGAGTCTGATAAGATCGCCTCTGTACTGATATCGAATTAACAATAATAGCTCACTTCAGATATTGTTTTACGTCATATTGTTGAAACCATTCAAATGTTGTATGATTGCATCTCCTTTTCGCAAATATTCATTCATGAAAATAAGTATTACAATTTTAATGATTAGTGGATTAATACTACTGGAAAATGATTTTTTTATTGAATGGAAGTATATTATCGGCCGCGATTTTAGCAAAAAGTACATCAGATATTTCATGAATCATAAATAATGCCTAAGTCTATTCAGAAAACAATTATAGTTGAAAATTACAAAAATGCCACTTTTAACATTTCTTTCAAATTGATGATTTCATTGGACGAACGCTAGCTGGTTGTGAAAGCCGGTGGTTTAAGCCGGACGATCGATTTTACTGCCCATCGTCCAACCCGTGCTAGAAATCGCACGTTGAAAGGTAATACCTCGTCAATCCTCAGCTCTACTTCTGAGAGTCGTCTTTCGTATGGGGGCAGCAGCTGGTTAACGAAAAAAATAGATTTCAACAGTTTTACATCGTTGAAAAATTATTTTCTTCAAAGAGAAACGGTAGCCTGGTGGATTGATGTGGATGACTGACTCAATTTATAGCTGTGTGAACCGGTGATTCGAACCGCAAGGTCGGACGATCGATTTTCACTTCCTATCGTCCAACCCGTGTTAGGAATCACACGTTAAAAGGTGAGACCTCGTTAGTCCTTGGCTCGCCCAAGTTTCGACTTGTCGAGATGTCGTTCGTAGGGGTGCGACAGCTAGTTAACGGAAAAGCAGATTTGACAGATTAACAGATATCGTGCGTGGATATTTTGGAATGTGAAAGCTCTGTTCAAAGTGGGTGCCGCGCGACCGATCAAAAACAACAACGAATTGATGATTCTGATGGATGAAACAGGGCTTTGCAATTTAAAAATGAATTATTCACAGGAAATACGACTCCATTCCTGATTTATCAGTGACGTGTATACAGCTTTGATAAATCTCTCCCATTGATGGAAAACTGGTGTCAATTAAAAGAATCACGTTAAACATTTGTTGTAAAATATACTATGAATATAATATTCAGGTGATATGACTACCTATCTGTATCTGTAGAGTAGGGAGGGTGAGTGTAGACCCACGGCGCTTAGGCCACATTTGACCCATTGTACTCCTCCCGAGGAGTTGTCCTCCTAGCTAGGTCGTCGTCCATCCTGTCCTTTCCAGGAAGGTGGACAGGTCGCTGGGAGACATCTCCTTCATATCGGCAGGTGTAGGCAACCTTGAGGTGTCTCACGGCGGCCTCCGCGAAGATTTTGGAAGGTTCAGCGACATTACTGTCGTTGCGCGGCTTCTTTAACCTTTTTGGGGTTCCCTCTGTAGAGGTACTCAAGTGAGGGGCAGCCGGTTCCTTGCATTTATTCAAAGCGGAGCTCTTGGCGCCCTCCGCAGGAAGTGCCCTTGCTGTTGGAGGTGGAGTGAGGAAGAGGAGGGTGCAATTATAGTTGCTGCCACTCTAGCCTCTTTCGCTCTCTTTTTCCTTTTTGCCTCGGCGCCGCAAATGCGCTTATGCCTTGGCCTTTGTATTATATCACAAAGTGATCTGCTATGTCCAGCCTTATTCCGAGCAGTAGGGATGGACATTTCTGTTCATCCCCAGCCACCGCCATAGATCGAGGTGACCACTTCTGTCCAGCCTCGGGATGGGTTTTTGTTGTGTCTGTTTCATTCATGTGTGTTCCCACGAGTAGCAGGTAAGAGTTTGGTTATATATGGCAGAGCTCCGCATTACCAGAGGCAGGCTGATTACAATGAAGTTTTGCCTGGTTCCCTAAGGGAATCATTCGTAACCGCATATCACCCTGCGGCCTTTCAGCTGTCGGCACGATTCCTTTCACCTTAGCTTGGGTAGTCTGGTCCACGGTGGCATGTTTCGCAAAGGCTTTTGGGGAGTCTAAGTTCCCCTCACCCTACTTATTTCTGTCACTGACCAGGAGTCCGGCGACCCCGTCCGTGAGGCCATATTGGCTTCCCGAACAGGGCCTCTAGTCCCCTGGATGTTCCCATATCCGCCACCTGGGGATAGAAGTTAGGTAGGATAGGTAGCCCAACCCACGGGATTTGACTACCTATTTTGGTAACCTATTTTTATAGTTGAATTCATGCGGATACATGGGAACTTTATGCTCCTAGAAGATCTAGAAAAACCCAAAAACCGAAGTCTACATTACGCTAGCAACATCTAATTACCAATAGAGGCCCGGACAGGGCCTCTAGTTCCCTGGCTGTTTCCATAACCGCCACCTGGGGATAGAAGTTAGGTAGGATAGGTAGCCCAAACCACGGGATTTGACTACCTGTTTTGGTTACCTATTTTTATAGTTGAATTCATGCGAATACATGGGAACTTTATGCTCCTAGAAGATCTAGAAAAACCCAAAAGCCGAAGTCTACATTACGCTAGCAACAGCTCATTACCAATAAGAATGTTATAACTAGTTTTAAGTCAATAATTTATCATAGTACGAGGCAGGCTATCAAATAATAAATGAACCTAATAATTTTATGATTTATTCAAAATATGATTTTCTACACCTTGAAGTTGTTGGTTAAGTCTCTTAGAATGTGATACATTGCGGCAGGATTATCAGCAGCAACCTGAAAAAAAAACATAATTTTGCAGTTTTAGATCAATTTATAAAATGATACATTAATGATAAATGAGAATGCATTTCGCTTGATGACATTTTTTGCTACAGTAACACACGGTTGACGATTCCTAAAGACTGTTCAAAGACCAGATCTGCTTCATCAGACAAACCTTACTACGGTTCAGCACTTGAGTGCATTCAAACAGTTTGATCTTCCTCTTGAAGATGATCACTCGATGATCGAAACACGTGTCGAGGTGCTAAAATAACGGTTTGGTGTCGGGGAAAAACTCCAGTAATTTTCATTAGAATTACAAATGAAGTCATGGGTTCTCAATAATGGTTTGGATATATTATTATTTCTATTAGTAGCATTACTGGATGAATATCATTCAAGCTTCACCAAATCTACCACCTTTGTTTGACCTTGTTATTCGACTTATCTGAAGTATAATTCAGTTGTTTTATTTATACATAATATTTGTCATCATATTTGAACATAATCAAATGGAAAATGATCTCTCTTCCTGTCTTATGGCATCAGGTTCCTCGGTTGAGTCAAAATAATTTACTGAAAAAAAGTCTTACCATATGACCGGCTCTCTCCACCCAGTAGAATGCAAATTTCTTGGCTTTCTTAACATATCCTTCATAACAACCATCTTCAATGAAACCAGTTCTTGGTGCAGCATCCCAGATATTTTTGCCATTCCATTTCAAGTTTTCAACCCATTGGAGGGTACCTGTATTCAAATATTAAAATGTTATTGGTATCAGTATGTTCACTCGAAACGCTTAATAAAAACTTGACATACAGAGATGTATCTACCAGCTTTCCTACGCAGCATGCTCATGCAAATGTATGAAAATAACTACCCTGGATAACAAAACGGATTCTGGATTACATCCAAAAATCATTTGTGTAAAATTTCCCACAGAAAAAAGTCGAAAATACGTCCAGAAACCCACGATCAGTTATAATGTGCTATTTTGCCATTTGCCGAAACAAATTGCTAATAGATAACAATCACCAAGCCAAGTCTTCCGACTTGATAACTTGCCCAATGAAAATTCTTTCGAGTACTATCTTTCTGTTACCTGTTTTCAGAAAGGGAACTTTCATCAATGTTTGCGAAACTCAAAAAAAATGTTCTAGATACCATATTTTATTCATAAGAATTAGCAAAGCCAATCTAGTGTGATGCTCCGCTCAAGATATAGTTTTTCCTGAGCGTCTCAAAACAGCAAAGGCCACACTTATATTCAACAAGAATAACAGAACAAACTCAGACAACTATAGACCGGTCTCCGACCGAAGTTGTTTGAACATAGCTTATTTCATCGCCTTACCAGATTCAGCGACAAGTTCAGAATAATACCGAATGAACTCCATAGCTTCAGGAAAGGAAGGTTTACAAGCACGGCCACTTTCTAGATAACCTAGAAAAGAACATAGGTCCAGTTGGTTCCATTGTGAGCTGATGTGCATGCACTCTGGTTTATGAAATTCGAGAAATAATTGCTGACTGGTTTAAATCTTATCTAACCAACAGAGAAGAGTATCTACAAGTCGAAACGAACAACAAGTGGACTGTGAAGTCGTCTCTGCATAGTCCGTAGGGGCAGGAGTTGGAGCATTACCCTTTAGGGCAGCTGTTCGAGCAGCTAATGAACTCGGTACAGCTTTCAACACTAAACGAGGTAATCACAACTCTGTCACCGAGTTGGAATCCGTCCAGCAAAAGGCCTATATAAAACTCGCAGAGATCGTCACATTCCTGCAGCAACACAAAGATATGGCAATACATGGGGTCATCGTGGCCTACCGCAGTCGCGTGACGGGTATAGAGGTTCCTGGTACAAGGTGCAGGGCCTGCCGTGGGTCGCCTGAGACCCTGATGCACTTTCTGGCAGCATGTCCAGCATATGCAACCTCAGCTTTCAATCCATCGATATAGCAAGGCTTTTAGAGTTCGTTATTATCAGCCACGGTACTTTTAGGGTGTTGACGAGAAACCAGTGTTGCCCTATGCTCCGGGAGATATTGAATCCGTTGTGGAGAACAAGAAGTATCGAATTTATTAGTCTATTCGTTTCCCACCCTTAGATTCATACAAGCTAATGAGCAAGACGGGATTTCCCATGGTGTATTCAAATTCTAGCGAGTCGAATTTCGTTCGGTGTGAACAGTGATCATTGGTTGAAAATGTTGAAGCGTCTATCTGCAGAACAAACCTATATTTTTCAACATATAAAATTATATAATATGTCGTATCAATCGCTCTACTGGAATCCAATAAAATCAGCACTGTGTATTGCTTGTTGTTTGTGGCCGAGATGATTTCATCAACTATATCAGCTATATCATGTTCGGAATCCTGTATATGAGGTAAAATAGAAAACTGTGGCTGATGTTACTGAAAGAACCATTGGAGTTCCACAAGGAGGCATATTAGCGCCTATGTTATTTTCACTCTACATTCATGGTCTAGTTAATTATCTGTCAGGATATTCAATAACACTCTATGCAGACTTTTTGATAAAATTAACGATTGGTTTTCATTTAATCAACTATATCCCAATTTGAGCATAACAAATTTTTTGATATTTCAAACTAGAGAACGAAGAATAAAGTTGATTGCAGTAGCTTCAAATGAAATATATGTCAACAGGGTTAAAACTATCAAATTCTGAACTGGAACATACAAATACAAATCCTCGATGAAGTTGCTAATATTCGAAAACCATCACATGATGTGCCACACTTTTTAAATTCAGGAGTCATTTCTTATTCATTTCATCCTCTGGAGGATTTTGGAATTCAGTAGACCTTACTAGAACTTATCCATTATTGTTGTTTTTCAGTTTGTCTGTAACGTATACAACTATTTTTACCAGCAATAATATTATTTTTTATCATATTTGACGTTCTCATTTTTCTGTGAGGCTATATGCTTATTACAAGTCATTTGTAATATCGTAGCTTGACTTTCATATATTCATCTGTGACTTATAATATGCACATTATGTATCTTTAACGGTATATAGATCAACAAATAGTAAATAATAGGTAGTGATATAATGATGAATTGATGAGAATACTAACCAGGAGTATCTATTATGAGATCAAGTTGTCCAGAGAATACTGCTATGGATAAATCAGTTGTGTTCAGTAGCTGCTCTACAATACTAGTAACAGGTGTCATGAAATCCCAGGTCAAAGCATTCCAAACATCATCATTTTGGGTTCCAAAATCCCTGTGAATATTTAGAGCTTCTTTAACGACACCATTCATTATTTGGTTCACTTTTGTTTCTGCTTCAGGATCCACATTGGTTTGGCCTGGGTAACTAGGAACTATGAAAACAAATACAGTTGGGCTGAAAAGTTCATAGGCTAGCATAGAAAAAAAAATTCGATTCAATATAGTTGCCTTCGAAAGACAATAATGAGTGATTTTTTTGGTGGTATCTTTTTGGCAACACTGTTTTTGACAGATCACGCGTAAATCGTGTCTTGTGTCATTGTCAAACTTTTTCAATTTTGTCTATAATTTAACCATGAATCGACTTACGAATGAACAACGCTTGCAAATCATTGAATTTCATTATCAAAATTGATTCTTGGTGAAGAAAGTGCATCGTGCACTTCTTCCAATTCAAGGGCAGTTTCGTCGGCCTACTGAGGAAGCTATTCGGAAGCTTGGTACTAAATTTTCAACACAGTTTGCATTATTGGACATTAAATCGCCAACACACATACGTAGAGTGAGGACCGAAGAAAATATTGCGGCTGTATCCGCCAGTGTTCGTGATGACCGTGAAATGTCGATTCGCCGCCGTTCGCAGCAATTGGGCCTCTGTTACTTCATTACGTGGAAAATTTTGCGAAAGGATTTGGGTGTAAAACGTAATAAGATACATCTGGTGCAATAATTGAAGCCACACGACGTCCCACAACGTCTAACATTTGCTGAATGGCCGCTGAAAAAGTTGGAGGAAGATACGTTAACAAGCAAAATTGTCGCATCTGGAGTAAAGACTAGCCACAAGCATTACAAGAGCTACCGATGTATCCCGAAAAAGTCACTGTTTGGTGTGGATTATGGATCAGTTGCCTCATCGAGCCGTACTTCTTCAAAGACAACAATGGCCGGAACGTTACTGTGACATGCCTGACATGTGGTTTCGACATTTCTTTTGGACGTTAGGGTTAACTAAAAGTCAAATGAATTCAATACTAGTATCGCCATCTGTGTTTTAGCCTACGAACTACGAACTAGATTGAAGTGCTATCCAAATGTAAGAGTTTTTAATCAGTTGATCTGTTTGTATTTACTGTGATAAGGAAGGGTTATATTGATAATAGTAATTTATAGTAGTAGTAGTAATTTATTATGAACTTTTTGAAACTTTGCAGCGAAAAGCATATATACATTTTGAAGATATTGTTGGCAGAACTGTGGCATTACTTTGAAGTCGTTTTATCTTTAATTCTTAGAAATAGTTGTAAGGGGCGCTATTTCCGCAATGTGAAGTCATGGTAGCGAGGATCTAGTTTGAAAACAACTTGGCAGCAGAAGACAATTTGTTTTGGAATTACCTTTCAGGTAGTGAATTACCAACTGGCAAGAATTCGTGCGAGAGAGTGTCTGTTGGAGAAAATCATCTAGAGGAACAATTTGTTCAGGGCAGTCTCAACTCCCTTCTCTGTAGGTTGATGAACTGACACCTATCAGAAAACAACTACTTCCCTGGCTGATACCACGAAGGGCTGTAATAAAAGCTCCTTGAGTGTGCTATTTACTATTTAAGTTATACTCTCAAACAACTACAAACGTACCAACTCGGTACAAAATACTTTTAGTTTTACTTTTACTTCAGGGAGAGAGGTGCGCCTTTTTTTGTAATTGTAATATGAATTCTCTAGCTAAACAACCCGCACTAGGATTACAACAAGATATATAACCTCTTTGCAAATAGAAAGTGGAATCAGATAAAATAATATGTGAACTCTCTCTCTCTCTCTCTCTCTCAATATCAACTGGTTAGTAAAAAAAAACAAACACCCACATAACGCCTCTTTGGGTGGTTCATGGTCAACCATAGGTTCCGTTGACCCGGTGTGTCTTCAACACCAACACTTTAATTTCAAACTCCCCTGTACCCATTACCGGTTTATGATTTCACTACCGATTTTCCTTAAATTTCGCACTACGCACTTATAAACAAAATAACTCCCCTATTTAGGTCACCTTCCTCAGCCTCGAAGGCTGAGGGATGAGACCCCCCCAATCTCGTCTCGACGGGATCCGGTGACTGACTTTTTCTGTATCTCCAGAAACTCCCACGCCCTCGCGTTAGCATCGCTAGCCACAAAAATCTCAACTCAGCGTTTTTTTCCCTTCCCAATCATATGATCATCGGTAGGATGTAATATCTACATTTGTTTAGTCTAACTCAACTTGTACATGACCGCAACGACGCTCAAAGGTCTGACAGTCATAAAGTAATTCAACGATTTTTCAACTGAAAAAATATCGACACCGAAGAAGCGGGTGATCGACCTCGATCTCTATGAATGAAATAATATTTTACGGTAACCATCGCGTTGGATTATATCCGACAAGTGTCGGTGCAGGATTCTTCACTGAAGTTATTCCTGCATATGCTATTGGCGATACAACTGCCGAAATACATTTTAAATTGATGGAACACACTTGCAGATCGGTTTCGGGCTGTTTGGCCACTCGTCTGTGCAAGGTAGTGCCTATCATCAACCTAAAGTCCATGATGTCCGATAATTGAAAATCGAATTCTTTCAGAGTATCTTTCCTCGAACTAGGCTGAAGCGAACAACAAACAACAGATTTGTCATCGCCCCATCTGCCTGTGAACGAGGTAACCAACCGCATATCCGAAATTCGCGCAATTCCTCTTATAAGGAAATCATCGACTTTATGTTGACGATAAACACTATCTTGCACTGACAAGTGGCCAAACAACCCGAAACCGGTCTGCCGAACAGTGACAGCCCGTATACATGGGCTGATTTATGAAATGTTAGATACCTTCCATGAACGGCTCGAATGCGAAAGCGAGAAGTCTCAGACCGAATGCTGAAATGAGGCTCTGTTGGGCTAAAAGCCACCCGTTAACACCAGCGGGGGCGTCTCTCATTGGCCTGTCGTGGGTCTGTGAGGTGGCGCTTCACCTTGTAGACGTCCTGGGGCTCGATATTGAAGTCTTACCCTGCTGATCCACCCCTTTTCTTTAACAATCCTTTTCCTGCCCCCCACCCACTCCCGTTTGTGGAAAAGATGTGAATATTGTATATTCTCTGTACATTGCACCTTAGATTCACTATAAAGAAATAGGCAATAAATAATTTTTGATTTTGGTCTGCAAGTGTGTGTCTGCAAGTGTGATTTGGTCTGCAGTTGTATCGCCAAAAGTATATGCAGGAATAACTTCAGTGAAGAATCCTGCACTGACACCTATCGGATATAATCCAAAGCCCTTCGTGGTATTATCCAGGGGAGTAGTTGTCTTTAAGTATGCACACTGACTATATGTGAAGTTTTGTCTATTGGAGTGTTTTTTACCTCAACCAAATTGCAACAGATGCTCTATTCCAGAGTACCAAGGTTCTGGTTGCTTCGTTTTGATATTTTTCAAACAACTACTTCAGGATTTCACAATTTTTTTTGGTTGCCTAACAATGTAGTCAATTGACAAATTTATTCTTTTTTTTAACTAATTGAGTGATATTCAATTTTATCAAATTCTTGAATACCTTTTTGTACGCCAATTCCCGTCTTTTTATTGAGCACGTTATATATATCGACTCCATAAGTATTAGACTTGATTTCATATTCTACTCCTCTCCACAAACCAAAGGCATCTTCGAATCTTCCAGATTCTACCGCTACCTTCACTAGATTTGCGATTTTTGAAATCTTCTTGTACCCAGTTTGATCGATGATGCCCTGAAAAATTGAAGATGATATTGAATTTCATTCCGTGAAACTTGAAATTGTACCCTTTTCGAAATGGAAGATGTTGAAAATTTCCATAAACGTTGAATACAAATATGAATAAGAAACCTTGCTAGACTGATAGTCAATTCCAGAGAAAGTATATATTCACAGTGATGACAAATTTTTTTCACAGACTTAAAGACATTTGTTAATCAGGTCGAGTGGACTGAAGTCCGAAACGAAGGGGTTTATTAGGACCTGCGAGGTTAGTCTTTTGATATTCAAAGGTTGAAATTCAATAATTTTTCATCGTATATGAAAGATATTTTTATTCATTATCAACATTCGATGTTCTAGTTTGTCAATTTTCTGAAGTATGAATCAAGCTATCACGTACTTACCATGCTCAACAAATACGGTGCATATGTCATAACCGAATCTACAGGGGAAATCCAAGAATCTCCTAGACCTATGCCTTCGAGATCGCAGTCGATATATCCACGCTTTTTTTCCTGAAAAAATATCATCAATATCATTTTTTGAATATAAAACATATTCTTTCTAGGTGAATGACAGAAAAATGACTTTATTAGCGTTACTCAAACTCCGAATTGATGTCTTTGTGGCAATTGTCTTATGAAAGCGTAAATTTGCATATTTTTATTAAAAAATCACTTGTCATTTCAACATTTTCATAAATGAGGCAAATTTGCGGCGAGCCTGCATCGATATAATTCAATTTTGCACGGATGTGAAATATTATTCCACAACCTCAAAATGTATTTATTCAAAGGTTCAGTTTGGGTCGTACCTATCAAAGAATATGTCAGTTGTGAGGTTTACCAGGGTTCAGTTTTGGACCCTGTCATTTATTTATATACATCAACTTGATCACTTTCACAGAAGAAGCATTAGTCCTTTTGCACAACACACAGAAATCTCTTCAGCAGAATGAATACAAAAACACACAATTCATAAAGCAACACAGAAGAAAGAAGATACTGGACAAATGAGCACAAAAGAAATCAAAGCCATTCTGCCTTATGTCAGAGGGGTTACAGACAAAGTAAGAAGAACACAAGATATAAACTAACGAGAGCCATCAGAAATGTCCTAAACAACTCAAAAGACAAAGTCATCCTTGACATTCAAGGCATTTATAGGATTGCATATGAGGATTTCTATGGAGAATACTTCAGGGACGGGAACAGGGAACACCGCCTGTTTGTATTGTTCCGTTTTTCATCAATATCATGCACACTCGATAACATCTATATCTGTATTTATAGCCTGGACCCGGAAGTCACGCAGGTAGCTAGAGCTGCCTACGTGGTCATGTTGGATGAACCTGGGAATGCTAGGTCTTCTAATTGAAACCACAAATGTGCAGTTGGCTCCTGTTGGTGACACCCTGCATATTTTTCAGGTGTTGCTTTTCTTTGTACTTGGAAGCAACGCGCTGATGAGGCTAACAGCCAGAAAGACATGTCTGCGGTTTCTTCCCCTTTCTGGAATGTTGTGTCCACGAATTTTTCCCTTTCTTCTAAAATAGGACTGCAAACGGTCACACAATATGCCAAGTTTGCGATCTATAAGATTTTGATTGTGGTCTGCCTGTTTCTCACTGTATGAGTTGCATAATTCGCCAAGTGTTGCTACTTACTAAATGTAGTTTTATTTTAAATAATTTGGAAGTAATTAAAATTTATTTGAATTCTAAATCGTACTACCTATATTTTTCAAGATTCAAATCCAGATTACTCCGAAAAAAAATCGTCAACTATATGATGAAAACATTTCTCCTTCAGCAAAACTACAGCCATTGTATCTTGTCGCCCATTAGCATCATCAGAATATGAGACATTGCTGTATTTCTGATGTGGAAAAAGTGTTTTCATTGTCAACTGTAATTATATAGATTCTTCTCATTGTTGTAACAGAGAAAAAAGGTCTCACCTCTGAAATGAGTAAAGCTATCTCCGAGCCCATTTTTCCTCCATAAGATTCAGAAAATATGTAAAGCGGCACGCTCTGGAATTCAAATTTATCGTGAAAGAAGGCTTTGAGAAATACAAGAAAATCCCTTGCTATCTGAGTGTTGTTCGTGGTGAGAGCTGATTTGTCATCTACATAGCTGAAACCCGTTCCAACTGGACTATCGACAAACAAAACATTCACGTAATGATCCCAGCTAGAATTCCGTGGCTGCAGATTTGTGTCTAAAGGTCCTATTTCTGCGAAGTTCCCATTACCAGCCGAAGAAGCTCCTGGTCCACCTTCAAGCCAAATGATTAGGGGTCTGTCGGTGACTTCAGCTACATCAGCTCTGGTGTAGTGCAACCACCAAAATATATGGGCGTTTTCCCTCACCGTAACAAATCCCCAGTCTTGATCGGTAGGGCCAAATCCCTTCTTACCTACACAGAAAGGAAATTATTTCATGGCCCCTATAATGCAACGAAAATTATAGTTTTAATGTTCATTGAAATTATTAAAAAGTAACTTTAGAGTTATATTATTCCAGTTCGGAAACATTTCTTGTCACATATAGATACAACCTATAGATACAGGCTGTATTTATTGTCACACTGAATATACAGTGCGACCCACTTGAAAGCAGGACACCTCCCTAAAATTTGCGTCTTTTCTCCGATTTCGAAGAACTTAATTTTAATTGTAGAGCTCAAAAAACTACGAAAGCGTTGAAGGGTCACACAAAAATATTTTTTTCGATTTGTATAATTCTGACTTTCAAGTCAGAATTCTGACTTGTATTTCAGAATTCTGACTTGTATCTCAGAATTCTGACTTGTAAGTGACTTGTGTGTGCCAGTCTTCACTTACCTACACAGTAGTTTAATGGTGTGAGATCGTCAGAACACAACTACTCCCCTGGCTAATACTACGAAAGGCGTGGGATTGTATACGATAGGTGTCAGTGCAGGATTCTTCGCAGAAGAAATGCCTGCATATGTTTTTGGCGATACCGCAATTGTATCTCCAGTTATATCGAAAGAAGCGATTCAAACAATGAGAAAAATTTCATAATCTTCATATTTTGATAAATGCAAAAAACTGCCTTATAATACTGAATGTATCATTATTATTCCCTGAGATACAAGTCAGAATTCTGACTTGTATCTCAGAATTCTGACTTTGTAGTCGACTAGCTTTATGCCTGTATCGTTGTCCGAGTTGATCTGTTATTCAACAGATAAAACGTCCTACCATAGTGTTTATTGTAGTATTTTGAATCAGTATTTATTACAGTATGTTGTTCTGGGTAGGATGCCAATCATCACTCTCAAAAAAACATTTTGTTCTGTATTTGAGTTTGAAAGTGTAGGTATAAATTAATATTTTTCATTTATACTGTAAACCATTGAATATCTTATTAACAAATGTGCTTTTTGATTATTGATTTCTTAGTGATGCCGATCTAGAAAGCGATATTTTTTGAAAATGAACCAATAAAACTACAATGGAAAATCCTCAAAACATTACGAGGGGGACATGCTGAATAGCCAGTTTAATTTTCATTTACAAGGTGATCAATGGAAAAGTTAACTGTATTCAATTTTTATCTAAGCTATCTCCTAATTTGAAAAAAATAATACAACGTTCTTTATGTTTCTCCAACATCTCAGTCAAATCTAAGTCATAATAGTCCTATTTATCGACATTGTCGGATTGCCAGTGAATATCTTGTTACAGCAGATTTATTTTTTGACGCAATCTCGATATTCAAAAAAGATATAAATGATACTTTAAACAGTGCGAGTCTCTAACATGGAACAAATTCACTAAATCAAAGGTGTTGTTTCTTTCGGAAATATGCTCGGACACGTCGATTAGTATTTTAAAGTGCCCTTATTTTAATGCAACAAAAATTATACAGTGTGTCTCAAATATGAGATATAACGTCATCGATATTTTTTTTTAAATGACAACCCTTTTTTTAATGACTTCAACAAGTTGCACATGCCTGCCAAATTTAATTTTTTTACTCCTTGTCCTTTGAAATATATTCAACAAACATTATCTAATTCAAAAAATGAATTCAAAATCAATAGTCTTTCGTTAACAAGTGTTCAAAATGTCCATTCACTAACTGACAATACCCTAAACGTAACTGAAACTCGTTTTGAACATTTTTGATTACTTCGCCGGAAATTAGCCTACACTTTTGTCTTATTCCTTCTTTTAAATCCTCAATATTTGCCGGTTTGGTTTTAAAAACTTTGCTCTTCAAGTAACCCTATAAGAAAAAGTCCAAAGGTGTTGAATCCGGTTGAATCATACGGTCCTCTTCTGCCAATCCATCTGCCTGGATATACATCATTCAGGTACTCACGGACAGATCTTGCAAAATGAGGAGGCGCGCCGTCCTGTTGAAACCAGATGTTTTTATTTGGCACGTCAGCTTCTATGGGACAGGGGATCAAAATAGCCAAATTCGGAACTAGGTCCTTCTGCAAGAATTCTAAATATCTTGCTCCAGTAAGATTTTCTTGGAAGAAAATCTGTCCTATAACTCGATCACCAACGATCCCTGCCCAAACATTGACTTTTTATGGATGTTGAGTGTGGCCTTCGCTCATCCAGTGTGGATTTCTGTCTGCCCAATAACGACAATTTTGACGATTTACCACACCATTCAACAAAAACGTTGATTCGTCAGAAAGCATAAGTTTTCTTTATGTTCAACATTCCTGTCTAGTAGATCCATCATTTTTTCGCAAAACTGAAGTCTTCTATCTGGATCAGTAAGTTCCTGGAGGATTGTTATTTTATATGGATGACATTTTGCAGCTACAAGAACTCTTGTCACTGAAGACTGGCTAATTTCGTGTTCCCGAGCTATCTGCCTAGTGGCGACATGAGGATTTTCTTCGGCAGAGAGAAGAACATTTATTTTGATCTCTTCACTGAGCGCACTCCGACGATGTTCATTTGTTTTTCTTAAATGCCCATTTTCCCAGAATTCTGAGATACAAGTCAGAATTCTGAGATACAAGTTAGAATTCTGAGATACAAGTCAGAATTCTGAGTTGCAAGTCAGAATTCTGAGATACAAGTCAGAATTCTGAGATACAAGTCAGAATTCTGAGATTCAAGTCAGAATTCCGACTTGCAACTCAGAATTCTGAGATGAAAGTTAGAATTATACAAATCGAAAAAAATATTTTTGTGTGGCCCTTCAACGCTTTCCTACATTAGCGATTTTATTAGGAAAAATTTAAAATCACCATTGGTGGTATATCAAATTTCATGAAAGAATATGCAATATTAACAATTCTGTGGTCGAATCTAAAAAATTTTTATTATGAATAATCAATTTAAGTATCTGATAGACTGAAAAAAATAAACATCAAGTAATCGTTGATAACTATGTGGCAAATTAAATAAACGAATGAACATATTCATTCCGATCAATTGATTTTTGGAAAAATTAAACACTTGAAAAACAATATTCAACAAATTATTGTAGACAGACACAGGAATGAAAGTTCATAAAATTTTTGTTGTTTCAACCAATCCGACATTCATTACCATGCACTTGTCATACCTTCTTTCAATATTCAATATAACTTTTCTCAGTTGTTCTGTTGTAATTTCTGCACAAGCTGCAGATATTCTGATTCGCAGTTTTTCCACTGACTACGGTCTAGACTTGTAGTAGCGTTTTTGCTTCACAGTACCCCAATGAAAAAAATTAGCGGTGTCAGGTCCGGTGATCTTGGCGGCGACTCCATGTAAGGACTATTTCGGCTTAGCCATCGACTTCCATAATTATTATTCAGTCATTCTCTTACAATAACTGCATTATGTACAGAAGACTTATCCAATTGAAACTTCAAATTCAGGCGATCCTGCACTGGTAAGTTATGTATTGCGTCCCAAAACTCATTTCTCGAAAAGTCTGAAATTCATATTACGTTCCACACCACACTACACATTTATTTTATGGAAATATTGCCTTTTTGCGTTTATAACCCAATTAGGATTATCCGCAGTCCAGTACCTTGAATTTTGGGACGAGACTACTCAATTTTAGTAAATTGAAGAAGTTTATATCATTCAAATATTCTCCTTGAGCCCACAAACAGAATTCCAACTTTCTTTTTCCATTTCCCGGTTCCAGAGTGTGGAAAATTTCTGGCGTGAATGATTCAATTTTATTTTTCACAATGAATCTCCTGATATTTTCTCTAGGGATATTTATGTTCAAACTAGCCATTCGTAAGTTTGAATGAGGATAATGACGTAAATATTGCAATATTCACACACTATTTCTATTCTCAAGTTGTGGATCGTTTGTGTTTTTGAGCATATGCTTCGATACACAACCCATTTCATTTAAAAACAGAATTTATACGGTTCATCGTACTACTGCTCATTGGAAGTTAATCAGGATATCTGTTATGAAATTTTCTGGCAGCTTCTCTTGCCGAAAGAGTATTAACTCCGACAAGGCGCACAAGTTCAATTTTATCTTGCACACTTAGTTCTCCCATGATAAATCACTAATTCCTACCGCTTTACAAAATATTTTTCTTGGTAATCAGGCATAATCCGTCGTTACTGTTTCGATACACTTTTTGACAGCAGCAATAATAATCAATAATTGTCTTCTGTTTACAGTGCCAAATGAAAAGAACGGGATTTTGCATATTCGCACGGTGATTTACAGCCAACTAACCAACCCCCTGATCAGAGAGTGCATCGGGTAATCGTTGCGTTGTAGAAATGAAAATTTGTTGAAGCAACTTCTATTTACCAAAACGCTTGACAGTAAATCCATGGTACACCAGCTGAATTATTATTTTTGTATCTTCGTGGACAAACTGAAGAAATGAACATCGCGTTGCTGATAATGTATCAAAAATTTTATTTCATTATGGCATTTCTAGTAGCCATGAAAATATCAGAAGTACTATTTAGGCAAGAAATAATTTACCAAAACCAGGGCATTGGAAATTAAACTTCTAAACGAGTCTGATGTTAGAAACAGCTTGGGAATGAATTAACATAAACAACAACCAATAAATGTAGGACGTTCTATTGTAGATGCAATTTTTATCGTATGCATTGGTTCATCTTGCAAGAATAAATTATGGAAAAGTAAGATAAAGATAACAGAGAATATCTTCAGTAGAAGAAGAGGTATTTACTATTGAATATATGTGTCTTAGTGAAGAAACGCATGCTACTACTGTAACTTAGTTCCTGTAAATAATCAAAAGGTACGTTGAGTGGTTGAGAGCACAGTTGATATCCTTGAGTAAGGTACAATAATTGGTAACAGCTCAAGTGGAATAAAAGTTATAAGCCTAAAAATCACACAACATGTATTTTGATTGGGCACAAATTGCTAATTAGTTCCCAATGGATCTTTGGTAAGTGACCATTAGTGGAAGTTTCACCAAGTTTGGAGATATGAGCAAGAATTCCGATAGAAATAACAGCCATAGAAAAGCAATTTTGTTCGCTGAATGAATGGCATTCTAATCCACCCTGTATTTTCAGAAAGAAAATGTCCCATTGTTTCCGTTTTGAAATCTGAATATACAAAATTGGTTCTGAAGCTGGTGAAGATCCACAAATCTTCTGATGCTGACAAAATACCAGAGTCTAAATAAAGTCTACAAAGCACAGGTGCTTCACCTTCTCACAATTTAAACCCAAAAAAAGAACCTTCCTCCTAGTGGAGGACTACTATGGGAAATTTTTCAAATAAAGCATTCTGATTATTGATGACATGTTTCAAATTTGTTTATATTTCTGTTCAAAAAAACGCGTTGTTATTACCAACTGTTGAACCACATTCATACAAATCAGCACTTCACAAAAATGCTCACACCTGTTTTTAGAATTATTGAATCAAAGTGAAATCAAGGAGAAATTATTTTAATATTTCACTTCTTCATATTTAACCCAAACATTTTGTTAGGTTAGTTTCACTTATAACTATCGAGAAAGATGAATAAATACAACTACAACAAAACTACAAAACTCACCATGGACTGAAACGAATAAGAGCACCAGAAAAATGGAACTTTCCATTTGCAGATACATTAGGACACTAGTAACAACAATTGCCTACTCATATATTTTTGACTAACGTTAGATTTTATCAAAGTCCTATCTAAAATCGAGATTGCTGATAGTCCAAAAATATTCTTGGTTCGAAATAGAATTTCTTTACGTATATGCCACTCTGAGATTTTCAACAATGTCCTTCATTATGTAGATATATGAATAGCACGAAACTTCTTTACGATTTAATCAAAGCAATTTTGAGTTCATTAACCAGAGAAACACTTGATTCCAAAAATACTTCAATGAACCCCTTGACTGTTTAAATGTTTACAAGATATTATTGCACGAAATTATTAGAATTTTGAACAAAATTTTTTCATGTCGAGTTTGAATTTTTAAGCGTGCTTTTCAAGGTTGGACCAGAAAAAAATCGTTTTTAATTTTTCAAGAAAGTACAATTTGAAATTAATTCGTTAGAAATTAAAACGACATGAAACTACTCAGTAAAAAGAAGGCGTCGCGGTAGAATTTTTGGAAATGATAAATCTTCTTATAAGTTAAGTGAATGATAAAGTAAAAAAGAATACTTGAACACTATTTGGACACATGTATATCAACAACTTCTATTTAACCACAATTTAGCACAGACTTATCACTTATCTGACTGATCAATGCATTAAAAATTATAAATATTTATACCGTTCTGGGCAAGAGAATTTGAAAGGTGGGGGACATGATGAACCTTTCTTCTTATATACAAAACAATCTGATTTGAAATGTAATTCATTAATTCATGGAGAAGCCTTGGTCTTTCATTTTCTTTTCTTATATGTTTATTTCCTCAGAAAGTAGTAGAATGAAGGTTATTTAACAGAAGAATCAAAACTGTTGGTATCATTGAAAATAGTATTAGATCTTTTGTCTTGGTTCCAGAGCAGATTGAGAATTCCATTTGCAACATGTTGGTTACACGTGCAATTTTCGCCTTTATATTTGTTAATTAACGAAATAAATCAAAAACTATGTTTCAGCATTGAGGAAGAGTACAACTCAAAACTTAACTACCTGGACATAACCATAGGATATAACCACAACAAAACACAATTTCAAATGGCAATATACAGGAAACCAACACAAACAAGCTCCACCATACCCGCAAGTTCAAACCATCCACCATCACACAAAATGGCTGCCTATAACGCATTCATATATAGCGAACGAAAACGGATACACCCAAAAGACAATAGATAAACTAGAGAACAGAATCAAACAAAAAATACAGAACAAGGATCAAGCCACCCCAAATAAAATTTTATGTGAAGGTAATGACATTTGTCAAACCCACAAAAATCGTATACATGTTAACTTTTACGTCAATTTATATTTTCAATTTATTGTTTTTCACTCATTTTTACTGCCCTGAAGAAGCTTCTTCCATGCTGTAGAGGTAGAGTCTCTTGAAATAAACTGATTTGATCTGATTAGAAATTGGGATAACCAATTGAGTAAAAATGTTATTATAAAAACATTTCTTCTAAGCTTTCTTCATTTCATCTCAATTCAATAAATGAGATGCATAATAAGACTTCACTAAGAATCCATTATCGAGCAATTCTTGAAACAATTCCCAAGAAAATATTATTTCTACAAACAATTCTTGAAATAATTGCACAATGTGCAAGTGTATATCAATTTGTTTTTCCTGGTCACAGTATTCCTCGAACCTAATGATTTCATTGATTAGATGCATACCTATGAATCCGTTATCAATCGTGGTTTCATTGTTGATACATTCAGTGAAAGTTCACGATTCCACATATAATAATACTGAAAATTTCCAACTTTTTCCAGCTCCTTATCATGGAGTACGTGATTGAGTTTTGAATTCGGAAAGAGATGAATAAGAGACGTGTATATGCTGTTCAAAACATAAGGTGATTTTCAAATTTCGCCGGCAATGATTAGCGATTTTTTTATATTTTTATGTTGTTACACTTATCTCGAACATATGCGAATAGTTTCAGTTGTTTAGCATGTTTAGTTTGTCGGTGAGAGGTACAAAAGTTAGCGTGTTCGGCGATTTTCAGCTATCGAAAAAATCACACGTTGAAAAGTAAGACCTCGTTAGTCCTTAGCTTGCACTAGTTTCAACTTTTGAGAGTTGTCGTTCGAAGGAGGGCAATAGCTGGTTAGCGGAAAACAGATTTTACACTAGAAAACACAGGAAGGTCGGGGATTTACGAAATCAGTTGTCAAGATTGCAACAGCAAATACATCGGCCAGAGCCGACGAGCTATTAAAACCCGCTTCAAGGAGCATTGTGCATACGAAAGGATAGAAAAATCCAATGTCGCCCAACATGATCCAGACAAGGACCACAGAATTGGTGAAAACAATCTGAAACTGATTAAGCATGTGCATGGCACCTGGCTACTCGATGCATGTGAGAGTCTAGAAATAGCAACATGTAAGAACAGCATGAATGGAGATAAGGGACCCATCCCGTTTAGCCCGCTTTTTAATCTTCTGTTAGGAAGAGAAAAATTACTAAGAACTTGCAGGTAGTTAATTACCAAGAAATTCCATATTGGACTTCAGGTAGGTATACAACCTCAGGTAACAAATTTTAGTATATAAGGATTAACCAGCCTTGACTAGGTATCAATTTTCCTCTCCTGAGGATGCTAACTTTATTGGCGAAACGCGCGTCGAGTGCAAAAAGATCAGTTTGGTGTTAGGGCAATTGACCTCGAAAAAAGTTATTCAACCGGTGAGTATGTTTCATCTCGAGTAGACATGGCTGACGTGAACTGTCCTAAAATGTTCTTACCTTATCCGCATTTCTCGTGAAGTGTTGGTGTATGTCAGACTGTTTCTTTAGCAATTTTTCTGATTTCCAGTAGCGCCTGATAAATATATAATGTTGGCAACGGCATGATACGTAATTTTTTGAATAATGGTCTACAGTGCTCCCGGAAATCTGCACTTGCCAGTATTATCACCGTTTTTTTCTGTAGTTTGAAAATTCTCATCGAACCAGGAGAGTTCCCCCAAAGAACAACACCGCAGCTGTGGAATAATGCAAAGTAAGCAAACACCGTGTGAGTGGAATAATGCAAATTACGTCATTTTTAGAATCTCACCGCTTGTGATGTTTTGCAGTTGACGAAGGATAAATATTGCACTAGATAGTTTATTTGCGAGAAGATCTGTATGTTGGTGCCAAGATAAAGTACTGTCGAGAGTAATGCCAAGTAATTTTACACGTTTGTTAGCTGAACCTACAGTGGTGAATTCAAGATTTTGAGTTTTGTCACTATTCAACTTCAATTTATTTGCTGGCTTGATTTTCAACTTCTGTCATTACTTGTGGGATGTTAGATGATGATTGATCGCTATATATTAAAGTTGTATCATCTGCATAGAGAATGACCTTATAGGGAGACATGAAATTACATATGTCATTAACATAAATAACATAAATAAAAAAGAGCAGGAGCCAAGTATTGAACCTTGTGGAACACCGTGCTCGGTAGGTTCCAAATTTGATGTAACACCATTACACGAAACCACCTGATACCTATTTGAAAGGTATGATTCTATGAGTGACAGAGATACCCCTCTAACTCCATAATAATACTATTTTTCAAGAAGTATACTGTATATTCACAATCAATAGCATTAGACAAGTCAAAAAGCGTTATGGCAGTGTGCACACCCTTCTCGATTCCTTCAACAATAGATCCCACAACATCAAAGACAGCTAGAGAAGTGGAACGATTTTTGCGAAACTCATATTGATCCAGAAAAAAGAAGTTGTTGCTCTCGAATTATTATTTCAACGACTTAGGAAAAAATAGAGATGATAGATATGGGCCTGTAATTGTCCAGGAAACATGGGTCCCCCTTCTTGAAGACTGGAATTACTTTCGCATATTTGAAAGCGTCCGGAAAAACTACTGTCTCAAATATGAGGTCGTCTCCTCAAGAGCGGGGTACCTTAATGAAACCGCCTTGCACCAAATTCTTAAGCAGGTAGAGAAACAAACCCTCCAGGTTAGCAAACGTTTGAGCTCAAGTAATGAATTACCAAAACCAGAGGCGACAAAGCCCTGCACGGTTGAATCTAAGGCGTCATCAGGTGTAGCTGACGTGCAAAAACCCTCAAATGGGAATGTTGTCGCGGATATTAAGGTGGGAATCTTGCACTTTGACTATCCAACTACCTTATTAACGATGAAAAAGCAGAGCATATATTTTGTGCCTGCTCCGCTGTGGACCGAATCATGTTTTGAGAGTTCGGCAGAGCCGTACTCATACCATCTGACCTGAAAGATCACTCACCAAACAAATTAACGCTTTGTTAAGAAGCTGGGTTTATTTGGTCGAGTGTGAATAGTTGTGAGCCACAATAAACCCTTGCGGTGGAGGGTCGAATAGACCTACTCACTTTGGACCTAACCTAACTATAAGAGGATATGCCTATTTTTTCAATAGAGTATTATACCAAGTGGAGTTTTATGTGATAACTGAACTAGAAAGTTATTTGACTAAATCCATGAATTCATAGAGAAAAAACGCAGTAAGCTTGTCGAGGCTCCAATTTTTTCTAGAGACTTTCAAGAAACGGTTTCCATATGGCTTCCGAGCCGAAACGGCCTTTCTGCCTGGAAGTGGGAAATAACTGAGCATTATCTACTTAATGAAAAAGTTTATTATCGTTATCGACTAAACTACATTATTTTTATAAATGAAACAGCTTTAACATTGTAATATTATTGATTTATCAATTACATAACATAACAAATACTATGTTAGTGATTATCATCGTTATCGCAATTTTGAGTGTTGCAACGGCGATAGAGAAGTTCCACATTTGGTCTAGTAGGCTATCCTAGGCTACTGCTTTCGAATCAATTCAACATTCCGCAGTTTATTCAGTTCAATATACAAGTTATATTTAGAGTATGTTATTAAAAGATAAAATATACTTTGATGCTTACAATAAAGAAAAATAATTGTCATTTCCGATTTCATTTATCATTTACGTTGAACGATTTTTTGTAGCTGATCCTTTTGCCGCCTCTTGCGTCCTTCGTCTCAGTAGCCCATGATTTCCTCCTAACCAAACACTGTGAGCATTCAGAGTTCCTCGGGAACCATTTTGAGTAGTGCCATTTTTTTCTTCGCCACTTTTGAAATGAGAACGTCTATCGGTTTGGTAGTGTCGTAAAGCGAGGGGGCGTTCAAAATGATTATCCCCGTTCCAACTACACAAGCCACTGAAAACATCCACAAGAAGAGACGATCCAAAACCATTGCCACGTATTTCCAATCTTCTTCCACCTGTAAAATATCATGGTTAGATGAAAATATTTTTTATTCTTAATTTCGAGAATATTTTTTTCACTTTCTCATTTGAACGTAGGCAAGAAAATGTAGGTTTTGAAGTATATAAGAAGAAGAGAGGTATTGGAACGGACAGCTTGTTTCAGAGGCAATAAAACTGTTTGACAATCGTCAAACTACTTTATTGCCGATAGGTTTTTCCATTTGACCAACATGAAATTTCAGAAATGCTCATACAATTATTTGAAATTCACACTTATTTCAAACCGCGATTCAGTAGAAGTAACAGTGACGGCTCGTGCATTGGAGAACAGGGGAGGCTAAACTTATATAGACTATAAACACACAGAAAATCCCGCCGGAGGCGCGAAAATTTTTATGTTGTTGCACGCTCTGCTTAATACTAGTAGGGGATGTAGTCATGATGTTCAAAAAATTTTTGTAATACAAAAAAGAACCTTACGTGTTATGTTAAACATGGCCTACATAGCATCATGTAGAGGGTGTTTTCGGAAGAATAATATAATGACAATTTTTGGCATATATATATATGAATGCTTAATATATTTTTTCAAAAATAAAGATACCTTTTTGACCTATAATATTTCACACGGGCATGAAACAAGAACGAGAAATATCATGTATCCATTACACAGACTTTATAAGCTCATTTTGGATGGTTTTTGAGGTGCCCGAAAAAACGCTACCGTTTAAAAAAGTGCCAAATTGTGAATCATATTTGCCCCATAACACGATTTAAATTTTTTAAATCAAAGTATACTATTTTAGACCACGTTTGGTATTCGGTTTGTACGGAAAATAAAACACAGGGCCAACAAAAAATTTTTCTTGTTTATTGGAGCCGGTTAACCAATCGCATTTATCGTACCAACTAATTTTAAATCCTCGATTTTGTCGATTATCTGACGATTTAATTGAAATCAAATTTGGTTGAGGCCTTCCCAGAGTTTTAATAATGTAAAATTTATTATCATAAGATAAAGACTTGAAATTATTTGGCAGCAATCAATCGACTATATCGTCGGATTTTTCATGTTTGTCCAACGTATCGATAATAAATGAAAAAAAAAACTTATCGAGAAGTGAAAACCTGAAAACACCTCGAAATTGAAAGAAAATACTTCAAAAACATATTAAAAATATTACCAAAAAGCACTGCTATAATGTAATACTGCCTGTTTTATATACAAATAACAAATATTATCAAGAAACACTAAAACGATATACCGAAATATTTTTCAGTCCCGGTCTGTCACGGCATCTCGTCCGAATAATTAAATAAAAAAACAAACGCAGTCATACACTAACGGGGACCAACTGGAGGCTAGCCTCCTGTGACGCCATAATTTCTGCAACTGAAATTACATATCGGGAAGTATGTCGCTGGTTGGATCGGTTTCGTGGAGCCTGTGCTTTTCAAAGCGGTCGGAGGCTTGGCTCCCTTGCAACGTATGACATTTATTATTTCGGGTTGATGGTTTATTCGTTATGCGTTCATGGGCGGTGCGTTTGAGTTTTGTTGAGCAGCATACAGTGTAGTACGTACTACGTAGTGAGTGATACTGTTTTTTCGGGCATATTATGTATTTATATTAAAAATTAATGGTAAAGTAATAATACCCAAGCATTTTTAGAAAAAAAATAATCACAATCATTTGTCAATATCTTTCAATTTATTGCGATGAATAGCCTCAAATTGTATGGGGAGGCTAAGCCTCCCTTGCCTTCTCTGACGAGCCGCTGCTGAGAAGTAATAGATATCGATGGATCTCTGGTTATCTATCTTTTAGACAGAAACTATGATAATCCTGCAGTAAAACAGAAAATTCTAGAACCATACAGGCCGTTTCATTTATCATGTGGTAACATTGCTATATTCTAAACCGTAACAGATACGAAGACGATTCAATGGGAAAAAAGGTAACTATCATCGGGAACAATACAATGGTCGAAACATATTTACGGGGACTCTCGCCCTTCTCGAGTTATACGAAGAAAACCAAAAATGCTGTTTTTCGTTTTTTTCGAATGGAATTGTTATTTCGAGGAATATCAAAACATGGAAATGAAAAATGTTAATGTATTAGAAGAATACTATGACGATGTAATGATAAATATTCGATAAAACGTTTTGTGTCAACATGACCACCATCAACTTTTTTTTTAATACGGACCTGTCTATTTTATTACAGATAGTGATAAAGCGATACATTCACAATCCTATCAACTGCCGTCATATTTGTCAATCTTGAACTTCGTAGAATGGGATTCCATATTCGGTTGGAGTTTAGTTTGAATTATCCGTGTGTTTATGGATCTCTATTGCCTCCCGTACCGTTTTCGTGTTTTCAAACAGTTTCTTGTGGTTCTGCCACAGCCGACTTGTCCGATTGGTCTATTCTGCACTTTCTTTTACGTTCCTTCAGCCCTGTTCACATACATCTCTTGGTGGTTCCGATGTTTACCTTTCCAGGTCTTTAGCCGACCTGATGCTTTGTTGAAAACTGTTTCAATGTTGTGGAGGAACACAACATCAAAACGGTTTTGAAACCTATCAAGAAGATACAACATGGGAACAAAGCTGAAAGAGCATGAAAACAACTACAGACTAGGCCAAATGGACAAGTCGGCAAGTCGCATATTCAGACATTGCTTGGTATTATAAAAAAAAGAAGAGTATACCTTCATTGAAGGATAATATGATATGAAGGGTCTAGCTACTTTAAAAAGTTTGTTACTTAGAATTGGAACCTCCGGAGGAGGGATTTACTCACATTTTCGAAAGAATCCTTATTCCTAACATGTTGAGCAATGAATCGGGAGTCCGCAATGGTTTTGTCCATGTCGTGCAGTTCCGATTTGTCAAACGATGGACTAATATCACTGGTGCCATCGAAAGTATTCGTCCTGCAACTCGCAGGGCTGTATAAATCCTCGTCGCCTCCAGAAAGAGGCAGTGGAAATGGTGGTTCTCCGAAACAAGAACCTAGACCTCCAGTATGCTGGACATCAAACCTTCAGAAAAAAAGAGATGAAAATTACAAATTACTCCAAACTCATAACTCTATGTCCTCATGATTGGAACAGCAATTGAACAATTGAATTCAACAAATACAAGTGTTGTTCTTGGTAAAGATTTTGAATTTTCAATACCACTTATTGCACGGACTTCAAATGATGAAGTATTTACTTTTTGACCTGAAAAGGCTCAACAGCACACAGCTTAGCCGAAATGCCAAAACCATATTTTTATTGCACATGCTATAACCGGCTGCGATGATACTACAACAGCAATGTTCAGGTAAAACATCAGTTTTACCTGAACATCAGTTTTACCTGAACATTGCTGTTGCTGAACATTCAATTGATTGCGCTGAAGTATTTGGAAAAATTGGGCTCTTTTCCGCAAAGGATAATCACAAAAGGATTTCTCTTTATATCTTGCTGTTTATCGAGCTCCAAAAAAATTTATTGTATCGAAGGGTATAGATATTAAACTTTTCTAAGAGGAACACAGAACAAGAAACAATACATATATTGTCTTCCTCCAACATCGGCATCTGTGCAGCAACACTTGTACTATCAAGATCAGACATGATTAGTTAAGTGACCTCCGAAGAAACATCTGGACACTGTTTTTTATAATTGCAAAGTAGGTTATAATGCTGAATAAGTCTGTAGAAAAATAAGATTGTTGTGTTCACCATTGATGATCACAGAGAGACCAAAAACACCTTCGGGCTCAGGTACAGGCGTTTTCAGTTGCAGACCCAGGACAGAGATATCTACGTATCTATGGACCTATGCGACTGTATTTCAAGCGAAAATCTATACTTTTGAATTGTGTGCGGAGAGATTGGTAAAATCCAACCTCACACACAAGTCAATACAAATTTTCTCGGACAGTCAAGCGGCGTTGGAAGCTCTTGGCTCCTATCGAGCAACGTCTGAGTTGGTAGCAAATTGCCAAAAACGACTCTCCTTGATAGGAAGACTTAATAGATTGTCTCTGGTCTGGATTCCTAACCATACTGACCTGGAAGGCAATGATGCTGCTGATTCCCTTGCAAAAAAGAATGCTGCAAGCAGCTTCATCGGAGCAGAACGTGTAATTGGTATCGCTTTGGGTTTTGCCAAACAAACATTGAACACTTGGATGGCAAGAAGATTCAAAGACTTCTGGCAAATTCTTCCAGGATTGGCTCATTCCAAGGCGTTCATTCACCCTTCGGAGCTTGAAACCAAACAGTTCCTGGACTACAGTAGGGATGAACTACGATGTCTAACAGGCTTCCTTACAGGTCACTGTCATCTGAATCACCATTTGCAGAGATTCGGACTGTCGGAAGACACTTCTGTGACGCTTCTGTTTGGAAAATAATAAAACAGCAGAGCACATACTTTGTGCTTGCCCCGCTGTTGGCTGAATCAGGTTACCAGAGTTTGGTAGAGACGCACTCCTACCATCTGACCTGAAAGATCACTCACTATATCACTCACCATGTAAACTAATCGGCTCCGTCAAGAAGCTGGGTGTATTTGATCAAGTTTGAATAGGTGTGAGTCACAATAAACCCTTGCGGATTGCGGTGGAAGGACAAATAGGCCCACTTACTTCTGACCTATCCTAACCTTACCTCACCATTGAGCACTAACTGCCAAAACGAGTCTTACTTGAATGTTCAGTTGAATCCAGTAGATGAAGGATCATGTGATATCGATGGAGACAGCTGATGCACCTTTAGTTGAATAATTTATGAACATTCGACAAACAGAAGAGGAAAAAGAAGAAGTAACCGAAGAAGACATAGCTGTTGAAGTCGAATTTGAAGAGTACCTATCAGACTAAAATATTACCAGAAATCAGAAGTACAATTTGAATCGATATCAAATTCAATGATCATCATGCAGTTTTTTTCATGAAACTTCCTCATAACCCCTAGTTTATAAAAACGCAAGTTAACGAGGCAAGGTAAGAGAGTTGAAGCATTGAGAAAATACACGTGCGTTCTAGATAAAAAGTAAGGTAAGGTAACGCCGGTAAGGCAAAGTAACGCAAGGTAACAAGTCGGCTATTTTCAACTTTCTGCATTGCGTTCTTACCTCCGACCAATCAGGAAACGCCATACTATGAACTTTGACGGATATATTCGAATGGTGTAAAGGTAATGTCATCAGATAAACTTAAACGTCACATTGTGAAATTTGATTTTTCTTTTGATGGATATAAATACAAAAATTGCTGCGATCGTGTCAATAATAAGTGTGTATCTTTTACTCAAGAGAAAGAAACGAAAAAGGAGGAGTTTTAATGTTAGACCCATTCTGAGAAGCAGAAAGACTCAGGTGTACACAAGAATTAACAAATATGTTATGAACATTCAGTGAAATTGTTAGCGCCTTTATTGTTTAAAAAATATATGGATCAATATCTCCAGAAGAGAAATTGGCTATAACAACACTCCGGTAAAGTGAATTGTTGAAATTGTAAATATGTATCTAACAAAAAAATGTTCAGCTATTTATCGCAGGAAACTTCGCAACAGTCGGAGGCGTGGGCATACCATTTAGGAAAGACCACAATCCATAAAATCATCAAGGACATTTACGGTGTTTTGTGGAAAATTTCAGCCCCAATATATCTCTGACATTGCTCCTCTGGTAGCCGTATTATTTTGGCAATCACCTACCATGTCTTCTCCTCCATTAATTTGTTTATTTTTTTATCATAAATTATTGGGTATTGTTCTATTAATGATATAAAATATGCGTCTTCCATAATATTATAGAAATGAAATTTGTCATTCATTTCATATGAATGATTACTGCTGTCAAGATTATGGAAATGGAATGTAATGTCAATATTTGTTTATGCATTCCTGCCAACTCAAAAATTACCAAAACCTATAATCACTATCACCTTACCTTGCATTATTATAAACTTGGGGTAACAGATCGTGGAGTAGGCTTACCAGGGAAACGTAGAACGTAGAAATGTGGAACGTAGAACGTAGAAATGTGGAACGTAGCTACTTCAACTATTCAGAATGGTGATTATTCGAAAAAAAAGGATTGATAGCCTTTTTGTAGATGATTTTATGATCTACAATTTTTTTCGAGCCTATATTTTTGATGAATCTTATCGTTTTTGAGAAATATTCAAGAAACTCAAAAAACTTCGAGTAACTTTTCAAGTACACATGGGAATCTATGGGGTCTTTTGGCACTTTATTTCTACTGGTGTATCCAAGGTCTCTACCAAAATTCAGATCTGTCGGAATTTTTGTTATTTGAAATGTTTATTTTGACCGTGTGTGTTCATTTTCAAATATAAATATGTTGTAAGAATAAATATTTCTTTTTAGTTCTATCAAGTTCAAAACTGCTTTCGTTTTTGGAAAGTATTTTAGTTTGGAGTATATTGCTTCTACATATGGTAAGTGGGTATACTTGAAAACTGGCTATGAATCAAATCATCCAAAGGAACAATTCATTCAGGCTGGTCTTTACTCAACTTCACTTACCTTCACTGACACCTATCAGAAAACTACTACTCCCCTGGCTAATACACCAAAGGGCGTTGGATTATACTCCACAGATATCAGTGTAGGATTCTTCACAGCAAACATTCCTAAATATGCTTTTGGCTATACAACTGCCGGAATCGATTTTCAATTATTAGAGCAGGCATACTTGCAGATCTCGGTTTCGGGCTATTCAGCCTCTCGTCAGTGCAAGGTAGTATTGTGGTCGCGGTGGTAGTGCGCCCGACTCACGTTCGTATGGGGGCAACAGCTGATTAATGGAAAAACATATTTTTTTTAAACAGATTCACACTTGAAGTTCGATGAATTCCCATAATCAAAAATCAAATTCTTTCAGAATATCATACCTCTAACAAAGCTGAAGCGAACGACGAGCAGCAAATCTGTCATCGCCCCCTCTGCCCGTAGACGAGAAGTTCCCGTATGAGGAAATGAATTTCACATATAGTAGGTGGGCATATTTGAAGCCAGTTTTGTTATAGCCAATCTTCAAGTATGCTCCCTTACTATTTTTGAAATGTATTTCCTCATACGAGGATTTGAGCCATTCGGATATGCGGTTGGTTAGTACCTCGTCTTCGGGCGAGACAGATTTGTTTCTTGTTGTTCGCTTCAGCTTTGTTCGAGGTATGATACTCTGTAAGAATTTTATGGACGATATTTTGCACTGAAGATTGGTGGGAAGCTGTCTGAGCGCACTTAAGGAGCTAAGTACCCACAAAAGGTACACTCTAGCTTGTGTACTCGGACAAGAGGGTCACAAAGTCAATGAGGAGGCCGATTTTCTAGCCCGTGAAGGTGCATCCAAGGGTATAATCGGCCCAAAACCCTTCTGCGGGGTAGCGAAAGCATGTATAATTCAAGCCGAATCGATAGATTGGTGGAATAAGCTTCCAGGAATGAGGCAGGCGGAAGAGTTCATAAAGAAACCATCGCCCAGATTAACGGAAGACCTGCTAAACCACAACCGTAAGGTTGTAAGGGTAGTGGTGGGTCTACTTACGGGGCATAGCCGACTCAGGAAACATATCGTTAGTCCGGAAGAAAAACTCGAAAATATCAGGTTTTGACTTATCACCTGACGATTAAGAAGTCTCACTAAATTTAGATGGAAAAATGTCACAAGCGGTAGTGTAATTTTTGTACGCTAGATAGCAGGTTTGTCGTTTTTCATTTCGTCGGAACCACCTTTCACGTTAGCAAGAAAGACGACACAAATTAGGTGAGGCCGAGCATTCCTAGAAAGTGGTCGTCGCAATGCTGGGAAAAACAACACAAGATGGTAAGTTCATATTTTTATACTCGAAATGCATGTTTGAAAATTATCAAGAACGACACAATAGAATTTGTATCGTTTCTCAAGATTGTTAACCCATATAATTTAGAAAATTCATTACAATCCTACGATTATGATCATTTTCTTGAGAAATATGATTATAGTTATGTGATATAGCTATGTGATATCTTTTGTCTTTTTAGGAAAGCCTAATCAACGTACCAATTTACTCATGTTGTTGGCTAAAAACAACATGCAATGGACTGTCAATGACGTTCCATGTTCGTCCGAACACCGTATCATGGACATCCTATCTACAACTCAAGCATGTGAGCTCAAGCATGTGCTTGAGCTCACATGCATGAGCATGTGCGTAAATTATCTAATTTATCAAGACAGCTGAAAACCAATTAACACGTTTTGACTATCAAGGACTATGTATTCTTGATTGGTAGATCTTCAAGTAGGTACTAAGTATCGACATCGAAGAGACTCCCTCAACAGTTTCAGCTCAACCACAAATAAGAAATTCCCTGGTCTCATCAAAAGCACCTGCGGAACAGCCAATTACTGATTATCGTGACTTTATTTCAACCTTCGAGCAACTTCCTGATGAAAATTACGCTATACTATCGATAGCTTCCACACAAATTCCTATGGCTGGTTACCTCACAGCAAAAGAGGTTTCTGCGCAATTTGGTGATTCTGATTCCCAAGTGATAACTGCTGCTTCTATGCCAATCTTGGAAACTGAATACTATGCTTCTGAGCAACTTTTGGAGGCTGAAAACCCTGTTTCTGGGCAAACTTTCAATACTGATTATAATATTTGGATGAATGCAGCTCCAGCACAATTTCCCAAGACTGATTATCCTGTGATTAATGCATCATCTGCGCAACTTGCGACTGAATACCATCTGCTAACCGGAGCTTCCGGAACACGTTCAGAAGACGATTGTCCTGTACTATCTATGGCTTCTTCACAACTCTTAGTTTCAGAGACTGATTCTGATGACACAACACTGACGACGACTTTGGTGCAAGTTCCAGAATCTGATAACACTGCTTCCTCTCAAGTTTCATCTGATGCTGAACGCAATTTTAGCTCTGACAACAGTACAAGAGACCCTGACTACACTCCCCTAGGAACGAAAGACATTTCTGTCAAGAAAAGAAAAGTAAAAATTAAGACAAGTATTGTTCAAAAAGGAAGAAAAAGAATGAAAATGGAAGAGAAATGGCAAAAAACTGAAGCCAAACTACTCAAAACACAAGGAAAGGCTAGCATCGTCAACAGCAGAAGGTCAATCACAAATTATACTTTGGAACCTGTTTACTTTGTCAAACCGGGAATTACAGAAAGAAAAAAAGGAGGTATATTATCATTGATAAAAAAATGTGTACCACAATGTTATGAGGACTTCTTTTCAAATTCATAACAGATTGAACCACAATAAAAATATAATTTTGATAGTTATGTTAATATTTTTCTTTCATTACGAGTCTTCACAATATTAAAAGTAACCCAATGGTAACATTGGGTTTCCATGGTAACACATTAACATGTTACTTTTAGACACATGCATTGTGGTTGCATGGTTTGCATTGTAATTATGGAATCATGATTACAATGCAAATTTATCGACTTTTACGGTCAATACATTTACAACTAACCTCAAAATCCCCTAAAATGTACCATACTTTCCTTTGATATTTTTGAATATTGCATAGATTGATTCCAAATTTCAAGAATTTCTAATGTTGAAAAACGACACAAGTCAAACTACAGAATCTATTTAATTTTTCTGTCTATTAGTATTCAACATAAATAATTGTAATAGACTATAACTGATACCTAACATCATTATCTTCAAGTTAGCTAACATTGTGCAAAAGAAAAGTTAGTATAGGTCGTGAACCTAGTTATCAAACTTTTGAAAAAACTTCGTGTACTGAGAAGTGCTACTTTTCCTCCGGACTAACGATATGAGCAACATGGGTCTGACAGAAAAAACCCAAAGCAGGTTCTGTCAAGAAGAGAAAGAATCCACACTGCATATGCTCTGTGAATGCGAAGTGATAGCAAGGCTAAGCCATGCAAGATGCGGGGAAGAGAAACCAGAGGCTGTCAGCTATATGAAGGGATCAGTGTCAAGGCTATGGAGTCTTATCAAATCGCTTCCCGACAATCTAATACAGGCTGATTCACGGTGGATGGCACATTAGACGTTTCTGGTGAACCAGACAACGGATCACTTTGAAAATTTAATGGAGGGCATATTCGGACATTCTCTAGCCAACTAAAATATTCTAGACAATGCGGTGTTGCCGCTTCTATTAGAAAGCAGTAGCAACTTTGATTTTTCAAATGGAACACTCTG